TAACATGTTAAATATAATACTCTTACAGTATCTAGGTCTATTGAACTCTGTATAAATTATTGCTTGTTACCCCTATGTAGCAACTAGGCTAGCAGCTTGTAGACTAGTAGACTTGCATAGCTGCTATGATCAGCTTGAATGCACCCCAGGACTACATCCAAAATCATAGTTGCTTACCTAACTGCTAGGTGTAATTCTTAGCTCTCTCAACTAGCTGCTAAGATCAGATTTTAAATACAAAATGAAATAAAACAGTGATATTTGATTTTAGGAACAAATCTGGACAACATCATTTGTAAGGTGGAAGAAACAAAGTCCAGTTTATGTACATTGTACATTTTTATTGTGATATGAAGTGGTTGTTTAAGGTCACATATATCTTGAAATTGGTATCCAGAATTAAATTTTTATGCTAATTTTCCCTTTATAGCAGCTAGACTAGCATATCCTTTCCCTATAGGTTTTGTAGCTGCTTCAAATCTTGAACTTATCTCAGCAGTAGATGACCTAGGAAAAGGGGGGGGGGGATTTTTTAAAACTAAATTTAGATCTATTAAAATCAGAGGTCAGTTTACTTGAAAATTCCAAGTGAATAACTGAAAGTTTGAAGTGAAACTATATCAGACATGAACATATTATATTTTTCAGAAATAACAAGGATAATTAGATTTTCTGAAGTGAATGCCTACTTACATGTAATTACGTCTATCTAGAAAATTTGACATTGAAATGTGACCATGCATTAATTGTTAAGAAATTTGAAGTGACTCCAACATAGTACATCTGTTTGTTCTTTTTGTTGTCACTTTCTATCACATAGAACTCATTTATAGTATATAATTCACGATGTTTATTTTTTTGGAAAATGTTACATGTTGAAAATCAACCACTTAAAAGTACACCTCATTTCCCTTATAATGGCTAATTCTCATGCTTGTCTATTTGTGGTATATTTATGATGTCATCAATCATAAGTGGCCAGTGTGAAGCTCACCTAATTTGTATTACAACGAGCAAACCTTTTCCTGATGAAAGACAAAATTTACAATTTCCAGGAAGTTCCACCATGAAAAGGAAAAGAGGACTCTAAACTTAGATCATAGGATGGCAGGAAACGGCAGAAGTACCTCAAGTTTCATTCAATTACCAATTAAAATGATCATTCCACATATTTGAATGAGATTGGTTGTCAATAATTGATTAAGAGTCATTATATTATATATATATATATATATATATATATATATATATATATATATATATATATATATATATTTTAAAGTGATATTTATGGTTACAAGAAAGCTTGGAAAAGGAAGGGGGTTAATTCCACTGTTTATTTATTTGCATGCAGTTTCATCATTCCTTGACCTTAATAGTGCACATTTATCGACTGGGTTATAGAAAACAATTTTTAAAGGTTAAACAATATACATTTTGCATGATCATGAGGGAAATATGAAGTTTATTCAGCCAAGAAAAATCACATATGTATCCCCCAAAGCTGAGCATAGCCCTCGAGGAATATATGATTTTTCCTTGGCTGAATAAATCTTATTTCCCTGAATTTCATGCAGTAGATTTTTTTAATACTGAATCAAGCCAAACTTTTAATTGAAAAATTAACACAAACTTTCAAATTTGGTGCCACTCTCAAATTCACTCTCAGTTAAAAAAGTCCAAAACACTTTACTGAAGTCTCTTGAACACTTCACAGACAAATTAAATCCGCCATTGTGAAATGTGATGCCTGCTCTTTGGAGTTTTCATTCAATGATAACTTTTGTGGGAAAAAATCTGAGGCCCCCAGGTTTGAATATGATGAGAAATTTGAAGATGACAGAGAAATATGAAGTTTCATTACCCTGGTTACCGTCTAGAACCATTCAGATTACATGTTGTATAGAATTATTATACAAAGTTATAATTATACAGATGAACTTCGGTATCTCGAACACCAATATCTCAGATATCATGAATATGTCAAAGTGATTTGGAAGTCCCAACCACTTTTTCTTTAAGAATTTTACCCTTGGTATCTCAAATCCTCAGATATCTCGAAGTTTTTTTCTCAGTCCCATTGAGTTAAGGAATAACTGTCTTATTTTTTGGATTCATGATGTGATCAATCGAGTGGCTTGCGTGATAATTTGCATAAATGCCGAAGGCGTTTATGCATAAAATTATCACGCAAGCCAATCGATTGATCATCGTCATGAATCCCAAAAATCTGACAGTTATTCCTTATATTTACATGCTCCTGATTCTGCAAATTCCCGTGCTAATAGCCCCACTTCTGTCTCTATTTGTCCCGCCCCGCACGTGATTTTTTTTAACCGCGCCTATCGATGAACCAGTAGATTTATGCAGAAATAAAGTATTTTTACAATTTGTAATTTTATCTCGGACAAAGACATTGGAAATGTAAATATTTTGAGATAACAAGGCTTGACTGTATATACATTTATTGATTGAGTTTAAAAACAACATAGTGTTTTTGGGACTTGAGAGCCTGAGGCTGTCAGCAGTTTGGTTCAAGGATTTAGCAAAATGCATTCTGCCTGAGAATTCAGTCAATAGATGTTATACCTTCTTCATAAATGTCCAACATGAAAGAATGCAAATTGGATGTAACTTGTTGACTCGTGTTGTATGATCTGCCTACCAAGCTGAGGATTATTGCACAAATTAAGTTTGACATTGAAAAGTGGTTCAACATCTCACTGACCTCATGCCTTTTTTTTGAACTGCATAGTAACAACATTGGAAATTGTAGACTTTTTAAGCTCACCTGAGTTAAAAGCTCAAGTGAGCTTTTCTGATCACATTGCCCAGCTTCTGTACATCTATTGATATAAACTTGACCTTGTACATGTATTTTCAACTTTTTGAGAACCCACTGGGGCAATTCTAATTAAGGTTGGCGCAAAGCACCCTTGGGTTTAAATGGGATTTAAAATTGTTCAAATGAAGGGCCAAGCCCTTTTCCAAGGGGAGATAATCAAGAAATGGCAAAAATAGGGTAGGGTCATTAAAAAATCTTCATCCCATCCCAAGAAGCACTGCGTCAGAAAAGAAGAAACTTACCGGTAGGTGAAAGCTTCCTGAGATAGGGTAGGTTCTAAATCATTCAATTTTGGCCCCTGGAAGATAGGGTTGGGCCAGAACAGGGGAATTCAAGTTTTACATGGGAATATTATAGAAAAAAATCTTTAAAATTCTTTTTGTAATGAACCACTGTCCAGAAGAGATGAAACTGAGGTGAAAGCTTCCTGATAATGTTCAAATTATGACCCCCAGGGATAAGTTGGAGCCACAATGGGGGATACAAGTTTTTACATGGGAGTATACAGGAAAAAATCTTCCTTTCAAAAAATGATGAAACTTAGGTAAAAGCTTCCTAAGATATTGAAGATTTAGTTATTCAAATCATATGGCACCAGAGAGAAGGGAGGTACGAGAACAGAGGGGCAAAGGTTTACATGGGGATATAGAAGATTTTTTCCTGTATACTCCCATGTAAAAGGAAGAGGGTTATAATTAGTGATGTGAATATGCAAGCATCCTCAGATTTTGTTTGAATCAGTGCTTATAAGGAAAGAAACCTTGGGTGGGACCACAATAATAGAGGATAACAATTTATATGGGAATATATAGGGAAAAATCATTAAAAATCTTCTCAAGAAAGAATTTGAATAGAATCATTAACTGTAAGCATTCACAAGTTGTGTGGATTATTTTTTTCCCCAAATTATGGTCCTTGGTTAGCATGGGTCTAAATACGGGGATCAGATTTTACATAATGCATGTATACAGAAAAATAAATGTTCTTCTCCAAAACAGTAAGGTCATGTTAGTCATATTGATGTTGAAACCCCTCTTCCAATGTTGTGTGGATTCGGAGACCCCTTAGAGTTAGGATGGGGTCACAATTTTTCATGGGAATTTAGAGAACAGCAAGGCTAAGTTACTCAGGTGAGCACAGTGGCCTGTGGATCTCTTGTTTTACATAGGTTACAACCTTTTTTTTTAATCTGAAATTTCAATAAAAATGTTATTTTTTTTTTTAATTATTTCTTTCACAAGTTAGCTAAAAATCAATTTTGTCTTTTTTTTTAATTCTGAAGTTTCCATATAAATACCAGAGGAATGTCCTATTTTAGGCTAAGTAACATTTATACCCCATGTTTAAGGTAACTAGAGAAGGGCACTGATACCTCAATTTCACTGCTGTGAAATTTGTTTGATAATACCCTCTGTTTTATGTCCATTGTGAAGAGGTTAATTCCTGCCCAGCTGACCAACCGAAGATATCAAGTTAGTGTGTGATAAAATTCTGTAACCTGAGTGGATTGATAAAGCAAGCAAAGTTAGAGGGATCATGAAACTTGGATTACATAGCTAGCTGAAAATTAAAAATGTCCATTCAATTTCTATAACAACGAATAATTATATATCTTCAAAGGAGGAAGTTATGTTTTCCAGGTGTTTTGTCTACCTTCCTATTCATTTATTGTTTTGTCTACCTGTCTATTCATCTATCTCTTTGGAATGATTTCTTAATCAGAGCATGAAAATTTAGGAAAAGGGGATTCCCATGTACAAGACAAAATCTGATATGAATCTTATTGTAAGGTGAATATTTTTCCGTATACACTTGTGTATTGAATTATTACTTGTAATACCTTGCGTGCAGTTGTATCTCCTTGGTCTAATTATTTGTATTTTATATCAGGTTTAATATTAATTTTTTTTTTCTCCCTGTTTAGAATATAAAATGTGCTACAGTATTAAATTGACCAAAATTGCATGCTAGTTAAAACTATATATATTGCTCTGATCTTGAATGGACATATAAGCAATAAAATTATAATTACATGTACTCTTAATTACATGATTTATAATAAACTAGCTCTTCCATAATCTTCATATTATGTACATGTATGTCAGAAGGAAGTATATGTACTTAACAATACAACCATGACTTTTTAAATTGACAGCTAAGGAAAGAAAACTAATATAATGGAAAAGGATGATCAAAGTGATATCATCCAGAAACTAAAGACAGCGATACTAGACAATGATTCAGTGAGCCTCAAAGAAATTCTTAGATCTTCACCTGAGGTTTCAGACCTAACTGTAGATGGATTGCCTCTAATACACTATGTCTGCAAACACCCAGGATCAAGTTGTGATGTCATACAGGCCATTCTGCAGTCCAGCAGTGTCGATGTCAACCAATCAAGTGATGAGGTCAGTTCAAATTTTACATATCTAAATTGCAAATATTATTTCTTATATGAACTTACAGAAAGCAAAACTCTTCATTGCTCTGTGAACTTTCTCAAGGTCAAGAGGTCAGGTCATGATGTAGGTCAAAGCTTGACACAACATACAGTAAAACTCAGTTATAAGGATAAGTCACTTATCTTGCATTTTACTTCCTTACAACTGAGGTTCTTTATATCTGTTTAAGGAACATAGTAATTTAAGGCTTTTACAGGATTTGAAAGAAGTTTCATATAACTGAGATTTCCTTATAAGTGAGTTCTGTATAACTGAGTTTTTACTACATACATGCCAGACTACAATATAATGCAATGTGATTGATGTAATATTTCTATTCTAATGTTTTCCACAAATGTAAATATATAAAATAAAAGTAAACAAATTAAAAAAAAATAAATAAAAAAGAAAAAAAAAAGAAATAAATAACAATGTCAAAAAGTTCACATTGAAATGAACTTGGTTGTAAATCTACCGAGAAGCCATTCATGCTTCATAATTGTGACTAACCATGATCATTTTCAAGTGAACTTTTCAGCATTGTTATTTATTTCTTAAGTGTTAAAAATACAATAAGATGGGTATATATTGTGAAAAACTTGTTATATACTGTTTGTGTACTTTTTTTTCCATGCCACTGTAATTCCGCAGAATCGCAATTTCTGTTCAGTCTGTGGGTAGAAAATTACACAGATTTCATGGATTGCCATTGTATATCTTAAATTCACATTCAGTACACTGTGACAAATTTCCGTGGAAAATTTGTGACCATGTACACCCGTAAATTAATCCCATGTGGAAAAGACTATGTCTACAGTATATATTTCATCATCAGTTTCTCTTGAGTCAACATTAGGACTCTTCTGGAAGCTTTTGATTTTTTAAACAATCATTGGATTAGCTTACCTGAGCAGTGAGCAAAATTGATGATCATTTTCTTCAAATGGTTGTTAACATCAGCATATTTAATTCAAGAGAACCCTGCAATGGATTTTGATTAAATGGGAAGTTTATCTCCATATTTGGTGCAAATTACATGTATTTTGTCTAATTTAGAGTAAATTGCTATTTTAAAAGCCAACATTGTCACCATTAGCTTCTGATAATCACTCATAATTTTTAGATATTAAATAATTTAAAAAAAAAATTCCAAATCATCAACATTACAGATTTTACTTCTTACAGGTATGAAGGCAGTTTTTAAGTAGATCGAAGTCTAGCTATCTTGGATTTTCACCGCTATGACTTTTTCTTTTCCTCTTAAGAAAAGATGAAAAGACATTTCACTGGCTTCTTAAACTTTTTTTTTAAATTTATCAATTTATTACAATTATTATTTTTTTTTTGGCTGTAACAATTTCCTTTGAGCATCATGGTCTTTTTACACTGTAGAGTCTAAGATATAAGGGCATACCAGTTGTATAAAACTGAATGCAAAATTTCAGGGAACACCATTGCAATTGGCCTGCAAGCATGGAACAGATCAGGTGGTACCAGTTTTGCTGGATGCGGGGGCATGGCTGGAATCAGAAGAAGTGCCTATTTATGATAACAACTCCCCCTTTTACCTAGCATCAGCATATGGCCATTATGGAGTCATAGAAAAGTTGTTTCTGTACCAGCCAAGTATGTCTAATATACCAACACCACTGGGTGAGAACCAATTTAAATTGTTAGCATGCTCTGCAAAATTTCTTTGTTGCTTCACTTGATTGGTAAAATGTATTAATAATTGAATGACACTAAAAATATGCCTGGTATATATTATGATATATACCATCCTCTTTTTCTGAGCATTTACAGCTTTTTGGTTTGATTGGAATCTCTATATTATTTGCATGCTTTTTGAAAGACTAAAATTGTAAATTTCAGAGATAAGTCAAAGGTCATCCAGCAAATGAAGGAAATGCTTTATTTTCATAATTAAGAAAGATGTAAACATGAAACCTGACATTTGAATGGGTCAATTCCCACCCAATCACATGCTAACAGTTTAAATACATGGTTACCTAGATATTTTGATTGTACTAAGCTAGCTTCCTTGTCCTATAACAGATAACCTTTAACCTCTAGCATGTCTACCTGCATGTAAATATGTAACATTTGTTGAAATAAGTTGAAAATAACTTTGATTATGTATGTCACATGCATTAATATTTATTTGCTGTAGATAAAATAGATATCTTACTTAGACTTTGATGTTGATTAAAAAATTAATCTTCTGTCATTGACTTAACTTTAATTTCAAAATAGAATGAAAATTAATTTTTTTAGAAATAAATACAATTAAAGAGTGTTCTCATTTTAACATGCAGTGGTGAATCAGGATCCACAAGGTTTGCATGCCTTTTAAAAAAAAATAATAATAACATAAAGGAATGACACATTAATCTACACTTGCTTGGATTAATCTTTATAAATTTATTTTAAATCATTTATTCATTTATTTTTTTTGTAAACATCCCTACACAGACCTTTACCGTATATCTGAGTAACCATTAGAAGAAAATATGCACTAACTTTCCCCACTATCCTTGGCAACAATTACCTCTATGTACTTGCTATATTATGATCATGTGCTGCTAATGCAATTATGGTTCAATTTATAGATAACAAATGCAGCTCATACATAATGCAGAGTTAATGTTGCTTTTTTTTTCTCTGCACTTAAAATAGAATTGTTTATTGATACTTGTATTTTGGACAATAACTTAAAAGAAGATCAATTCTGGTCAATAACTGCTTGAATTGACTGTGAGCACATGATAGTTGAGCATATAATCAGTGCAATTAAAATGAAGTTCTTATGGCTGGTTATATATTTCAATTTACCCAGTGCTTAAACCAACCTAATCTTAATGATAATTAATTCTTATGGAAAACTGACAATTTCATTTACTCGTATTTATTTGAAAATCGTGTCTTTATCCGTTGTACAAGAATCTTTAATGTGACACTTTCTTTGTAACTGGTGGCATTAAAAGTCAGTCATACACCTGTTCATTCAAACATGCATGTCCTTTTTTAAAAAAAAAAAAAAATAATAAATAAAAAAATGGGAAAAAAATTCTTTACCATCAGCCAGAATTTTTATGCAGGTAAAATCTTGCAAATTTTATACTAGTATATTGTACCCTCTTCAGGATCCAGACTTGTAATTGAAATAATTGATAAAAATAAAAAGTAGAAATCATGATAAAAAAATTGATCAGTGATAAAAATGATAGAGATAATGCATGTTATCAATTGCTGGTAGAAATGAAGTCCCGGCCAATGCAAACTCCCACATCCTAATCACATGACCCCCAGCTTCACCCAAATGGTAATATCATTGATAACTGATATTTAGTTTTGCAGGTGTTATTATGTTTTTCCATCCCCAAATGTTTATCTCTGGTAATAAAAACTCATGACCTTGATGACACCACCTTTAATCAAAATGGAGACATGGTTAACACCCCTTAACATATAACATAACATGTGTACATTGTACACATTCATGTCTTAAATCCTTAAGTACCTTTAATTTTGACTATGAATATGACATCTTGAATTCAGAGTATAATACTTTTTTAAATCATGGACATTAACATGCTATAGATTAGATTTTATGTAAGTTTAGTGACACACAGTATGAAGCTTCGACACAAATTGTGACAGAAACTTTTAACAGACAGAAGTGGCTGCATATATTTATTCCATAATTGCATGATTACTGCATGTAATGTAGATAAAATTATTTCCAACAGAATGCTTGATTTAGGGTTCATAATCTAAAATATTTGCTGGTTGCAAGTGCTGAAGCAATTGTTAATCTTTAATATATACTAGAACTATTTTATTAACTTTTCTAGTGTTCAGCTTACTTGCTCTAAAGACTTGAAAGTCTTATTGTTATGAGTTAATTAAGCTTTTAAAGCATTTTCTCTTACTTTTACTCTTGTATATGAACAGTAAATAATTCTTTATTAAACAGCTTTAAGCCATACGGCCCATCAGTTACACAAAATTAACATAATTATACACGCATAGCGAGAGTCTACGGGGGGGGGGGGGGGGGTGGAACCCCTAGTGTCCATCTGTCCGACTCCTCAACACCAACAATTACAGTAAGCATTAGATTCTCCATTATACATGAAAAATATCTATACATAATATACATATAAATTAAATTATTCATTATTTCTTAATATCAATGCATGAAAAATAAATTTCCCTAATCCAACTAAAACACCAACATCATGAGAGCTGAGTAACTGAGTAAGCTTGTACATATTTGGAGATCTGAAATAATATGGTTTGATATATTTTCTTCTTAAAGAATCATAAACAGGACATTCAAGCAAAAAATGATATTCATCTTCGATACGGTGATCATTACAAAATTGACATATTCTATTACTTCTTTCTATTTTCTGATATCTTCCTGTTTCTATACTTAAGCTATGGGAAGAAAGCCTTATTCTAGTAATATACTTCTTTAACTTAGAATGAATAGGTTTTGTCAAATATGCATGGATTTTGGAAAAATTATCACACACAATGTGCTTATACAAGAAGCACTTTGTTGAATTTTCAAAATAGGCATTACAATCTTGAAGGTAGATATCCAACAGTCTTTCCTTATATAAAGATATAAACTGTATTGGATTAATAAAATCTTGATTGATCCAAAAATTCCCAAGTCCCATTCTAAACAACTCATCTTTAACATCCCTTGCCCAGTTAAGTTTGGAGTGTAATTTATTTTCAGCATTATACAATAAATATTCATAAGAAGATTTCAATATACAGTTATTTGTACTAAGTAATTTACACCTTCTATTGATATACAGTACGGGAATCGGCTACCTCGTAAACACCATGTACTCTCACCATGCGTCACGTGACGTCTACATCTGATGGTACTATATATATATTTCATTGACAGAGTTATTGAGACAAACAGGCTTTAACAGAGTAATGAAGCAGACACACTTAGAAAAAAATGGAGCATATTATTACTTTGACAAAGTAATTGAAAAAAATATGCATTGAAAAAGTAATTGAAACAAACATGGTTTGACAGAGTAATTGAAGTAAACAAGCTCTTGCAGAGTAATTGAAATAAACATGCTTTGACAGGGTAATTGAAGCAGACATTCTTTGACAAAATAATCAAAGAAAACATGCTTTGACAAAGTAATTAAAGTAAACATGTTTTAACAGAGTATTTGAAGTAAACATGCTTTGACAGGGTAATTGAAATAAACATGGTTTGACAGAGTAATTGAAATAAACATTCTTTGACAGAATAATTGAAACAAACAGGCTTTGAGTTATTGTAGTATACATGCTTTGACAGAGTAAATGATGTATGCATGTTTTGACAAAGTAATATTGATATAAACACCTTTTTACAGAGTGATTAAAGAAATTATGCTTTGAGAGAGTAATTCCAAGAGTTCTAGTACAAATGCTTTAGTTACTCTAAATTAACAGAGTAATGAACCAAACATGCTCTTTCAGAATAATTAAATAAAACAGGTGTTGACAGAGTGATTGAAGCAAACATGCCCTGACACACTGATTGATACTGACATGCTTTGATAGAGTAATGAAGCAAAACCTCTTTTTGACAGTCATGCTTTGACTGGGTAATTTTTATGGAATAATTAGGACAAAATATTTTTGACAGTGTAATTGAAGGAAACATGCTTTGAACAGATAGAGTAACTGAAGTAAATGTGTCTATATGCAATCAAGATGAAATACAAAAGCATATGTACTAGAACTGTAGGAAATGATAATTAAAGTTCTATATGAAAAAAAAATACAATTTTATCTTATTTGTTTCCTTCTTAAATTTTTTACACTTATAAACTTATTAAGTGTCTAGCTAAATTTCCTTATAGTGAATACATCAGGATTATTCTACATATGTAGGAATTAAATTATATCAATAAAACATTTTATAAAAAATTAATTAGTCTCAATTAACTGAAATGAGATATGTTATAGAAAAATTTTTGTCACATTGAAATTTTGATTTTCTTTAAGAAGCTTGCAGACAATAGTTTGATTATGTAGTAAAATGAATAATGACAAACATGACATACATGTATATGGGTACTGTACAGTGAAAAATAAATGTGCTCTCAAACTTGATGTAAACAAGAAAATACTTTGAAATATCTGAGGATTCAAGATGGTTAGGACTTTAAACTCACTTCAAGATATTTGAGATATCAAAGTTAGAGATATGCTGAAATTTGACTGTGCAATTTTTACACCATATGTCTCAAAGTGTGTAACCCTGCTAAGCCTAGGTTATCACTAGACAAAAGCTCTTCAGAGGCTTGTCTTGTACACAGATATTTAATTTTCTATTAAAATTAACAGAGTTGGTGAAGGATCTGAGAGTAAGGACTTGTCTCCTGTATGCAGCCTGTTTGGGTGGTAACCAGAGAATCATCCGACTATGGCTGACCCCAGAAATGGACATCAATCACCCCCCTTATTACTGTCGCAGTGGCTCCTTTTCTATGGACAAGACTCCCCTGTATGCAGCTTGTGCTGGTTAGTGCTTCATAAAGGCATTTGATTTTAAGATTTTATCCTGATACAGCTATAGGTAGGAGTGGATTGCGTACTTATGTGGGTAACAGGCAAATTCAGAGAACTGTGGTTCCCTGTTTTCGGGTCTTATTAGTACAAAAGCTATGGCCAAGGTTAACTTTTTTTGAAAAGTAAGTTTAACTTCAAGGTCAAGGACATGAGGTCAAAAATTCTAAGCTCTGTCACAGGTTATGTTATGTTAAGTGTAAAAGCCTTATCTTCTCTTGACAAAGGTTAAGCTTTTGTGACAGACAGACAGACTAACTGACAAATAGAGGAATGCACACTTTTGTGAAAGTGAAAGACAACATTTACCTTAGCATACAATATTCAATACAATATTCATCATAGCACATCCAAGTATAGGAAAAGCATGAATTCCCAATATACTAGTAAATGTGCACTATGAATATGTTTTACTGTACCTGCTTATTATCTGAGGGTAGGGGCTGCTTCATGAAGTAGTTGTCATTGGTTAAAATGCTCAGAAACATGATGATTTACATTTCTTCTATAACAGGAAATCATCTGGAAGTGACAGAGTTGTTAGTGGGATTTGGTGCAGAACTTACCCAAAAAATCATAGAAGATTTCCCTGAGATCTCGGGTAAACTGGTGAAGAACTGCATCAGTCAACAGCAACTGGAATATACACATGAGGGCTACAGTGAAGACCTAGTGGTACTGTCAACATTCTTCAAGATTTTCAAATAATATCCTAAGAGAGAGAGAGAGAGAGAGAGAACAGAGAAAGAGAGAGGGGTTTACATTTATTTCATGATACATTGTAAGGTTGAACTTTTTGTATAGGGGTACATACTTCTCCATGATCAATGAAACTGGAATCCAATTTTACATTTTCAGCACATAGCCAACTACAGTCACAAAGAACTGGGAGGTTTTCATGAACATTGGCTGTCTGACTATAAAAACATTTTAGTTGAACTCAACATCAGCAACAACAATATTAGACGACTGCCAGCTGCAATCCCTTGGTCGTTACCCTCCCTCAAAATATTTAATGCCTCCTTTAACAAAATTACTGCTTTCAAAGTGGAAAGTCCCTCTGCAATACAGTGCTCTCAGTAAGGATTTCTCATCATTTATGTTAAATAAGTTTTCGCTAGATCATTGAAAGGAATTTTGAGCATAGCATTGCACAACTATATGGGGTTATGTGATAGATATCTTGCTTTGGAGTAACAATTTAACATTCTGTCTCTTTCATTTGGCATGTATAGTTAGGATTTTTTGTTTTATTTGTCGATATTAGGCCAACTTTAAAAAAAATGTTTGTTTGCCCTCTCCTGACTCAGGATGGAAAATTTGGGTCAGTAGGTACGGTAAGTGAGAAATGTTTTTTCTCAGAAAATTTAAAATTTTAATGCTGATTTTTCAAACTCTATTTTCCAGAATGTATAAAAAATAATGGCTTCCTGGAGGTAAAAAAAGTTTTGAGTCAGGCCATTTTTAGCCAGTCGGTTGGGAGAGGGCAACCAAACAATTTTTTAAAGATGGCCTTAAGATAAATTTTTAGTTAGTCATATTGACAGAAATGTATCAGTCATGACATGAGTCTTTCTGATCAGTAATATATGCAAAACTGCGTCAAAAGTATTCTCTGAATGAACAACAAATAACAAATTGCAAGCAGTGGGAAACTTACACATGGTGAGAAATATGTACATGAACTGATTGAAATTTTGCACAAACAACACATTTACACTATCTTCAAAATGTTTACTTAAAGATTTGAGAAAAAGTTCATACAAAAAAAATGAAAGAAAAAAAAAGTGTACAAGTGAAATTACATGTATATAATTACAAAGATCATAAATGTGCATGTTAGATAAATCACTCAGTGTGCATCAACAGGTTTGCATATCTTAATTATTATTCACTAGAATTGTTTGTCTTTGAATTTGCTTTGGTGCATATTCGTGAAACTGGATTTAGTGTGACACTGTATGTGTTGAGTCAGAAAAGTGTTCAAAAGTTTGTTTAAATTTCCCCAAATTCAAACAACAGTCAAGATTAATTTTTGCTATGTTGAATTTCATGGTATTTAAAGATGAAAAATACACTTTTTGAGACTGTTTATTTTATAGCTCTTTAAAATAATCAATCATTCTTTGTGATATTGTTATGATAGTTATTTTCCTAGATACTTAAATTAACAGATATCATGCACATATACAGATTGGGACAGCTGGAATATATGCTATTCTTTGATTGCATATAAATGTATAATAACTTCTAAAAATAATCATAGAGGAAAGCTTAGATTGTCTGTAGGCAGAATTTCTAGTGTTCTAGCTGCCAGACTCTCTGAAAGTCGTTTCTCTAGATGTAATAAGCTTAATAAATTGTTGCACATTTGTTTCAAATGATGTTACATCATATATATAAGCCAACAGACTATTGGCATGTGCATGGTCTCACATCTTCAAGTATTTTTCAGTCAGTGCATATGTATATTAACATGCATTCTCTGTAAGCACCAAAAAATTTTGGGAACAACAAAATCTCTGATTTTTTATGAAATTATATTTGCACCACAGGTGCATCTTGGTAAGACTGGGTGCACAAGTGAAACTTCTGACACCATATTTACTTAATTTTTTTTTACCAAGACGCACCTGTGCAAAGTTCATCAAAATCAGAGACATGCGCCCTATTATTAGTAAAATTTTTTGGTGCCTACAGAGAATGCAGGTTAAGACTGAACTTCCTGTGCATATGTGTAAACACTGAAGGGTTATATAATATTTATATACTGTAAATTATGAATGACTAGTCTAAATTTCACAGCAGTGAATGTACTCCAATAAAGCACATACGTACACTTTATATATGTTCTAGATCTGTGAAACAGTGATCCTATTTCTAAATATAACAGTGAATAAAGAGTCTACACAGTAGGATATTTCCTATGGTTATGTAACCAGAGACTACGTTGGTATAAATAGAAGTAAAAGAAAATTTGTCCAAATAATGGTGAATAACTCTTTGTGATGAGTTCGTTTGCAGGGACAATATTGTTGGACAACTGAATTAATTATCATTAATCTTGCATTACCTCATTTGGTTAGAGTGAAATGAAATGAAATGAAGATCATTAGGGGAATTTATACTCCTAAATTCTTCTTATTGATGAAATAATCATAGCTAGGCTTTTGATATTAAATATTTTCAAAATGGTGTATCCTATTTGATATTCTACTATGGTTATTGCAAAGATCAGAGAGATGCAACAGCCATATCAACAAATTATTGATAATTTTAAATCAGTTTCCTCTAGTTTTGACTGCCTTCACTAGGAAAAGGATAGAGGTATCTTTTGATTGTGATGCAAATTGGTGGAAAAAATTACTTTGAGTTCAGATTACATTGCACTTTTTCTCATCCTTGAGATACAAATGAACGAGGAGTAGCATTCAATTGTGACGTCATAAGACACTTATGATGAAGTCCAAATCTAGCTTCTGCATTTCTCTATACAGAGGTTTAAAGATTCGCCCTAGTAGAATAGAAAATTCCCTCGTAGTTGGAATTGCTGAGGAATATACCTCTCAGTCTCGAGACTTTGTTGGCAAATAAAAACCTTGCCCTTTAGGCTCGGTTTTTATTTGCCAACAAAATCTCTTGACTATCGGGATATATTCTTCAACAATTCCTTAGATTATTTATTTCTTAAATTGATAATACCTTAATTATTCATGAATATAGCTTTTGTTCAAAATGATATTTTTTATGTGTGTTATCTACCTTGAACAAGATATTCATATAATTACCACATACTAATACTAATGCACTGAATCTATTAAAATGTCCTGTCTATTTTAGTTTAGAAAATGTCCTCCTGCAGGAAAATTTGTTAGAAGAACTGTGTTATGAACTTTTTCAACTACCTGAACTGAAGTATTTGAATGTAGCGCACAATAGAATGAAGTATTTGGTGAAATCACACCAGAGATATGACGACTGGAAAAAGCTGACAGCAGATAGTAAATATTTTATCTTACTAATACACTTCAACAACATTGTCTGTCTGTTTGTCTGTGTATCTTTTTTTGATGTCCTGGAGGAGAAAAACTTGTACTCTATAATAGTTTCAAGATAAAATGTGTTCATCTTTGGTTGTGTGTTTGAAGAAAATTGGATATAATGTATGATGGTTTTTTACAAGAACCTCGATCAGCCTCATGTTTCTATAAAATTTAATAATAATGTTTTTTCGCTTTAAGCTGAGAAACCTGAGTGGTCCTGTACAAAATTACGCTGCCTGAATGCTTCGTATAACAAATTAGAAATGTTGCCGACAGAAATCAGCAGCTGTACCGGACTGGTAGAACTGGACGCCAGTAACAATAAACTGGTGGCCTTTCCGTCACCATGGGAATGTAAACTGGTAAATAGATAGAAATATATCCTGCATGATTGTCAGGGTTATAGCACAAATTCATTATAGAAAAAAAAATCACAGAATAACAACATTGCTTATGAATTTATTTGTAAAGGAGAGTTTATTAATGGTATAAATCCATGCCAGAAAATATTAATTCATACTTTTGATGAGAAACCTAAACTCGACTTCAAGCTGATTCATTTTATATACATGTATGTGCATGTATATATATATATTTATTTACTTACAGTCCACATTAAACCTTTCTCATAATGAAATATTCCGGTTTGCCCCGAGTGTGGAGCTATTCTGGTGTGCAACTTTAAAAAAGCTGCATCTTGACTTCAACTTATTAGAGGAAATGACAGAAAGCATGGTCAAATTATGTATGTTGATACATGTATAAAATGAAAATTAATTATTTAATGTAAAAGCAGAAATATTTGTTGGGGATGAAATTTTGTTTCCTTTGTCATTAACAATTTTCAACAAAATTAAATCACAAACGAAATTTTTAGATGTATATATTGAGTATGGTCTCTTGAAACCATCAAATTAAATCTCCACTAAGCTATTTTAGATCACAATGAAATTTTATCCCAACAAAAATTTCTGCATCTACAGTGTTTATTTAAAGATCTTAAATTGAAGCAAAAAAATATTTTATTCCGAAGAAAAACAGCACAACATTAATTTCAATTAAACATAATAAATGACTATCCTATAGCATATTTCAGTAATACATATAACAAATTACTATCCTGATAGTATAGTGTGTTTATCTTTATCATGTTTAATTAAATACTGTAAACATACTTTTTTTCCGTGGAGTCATAATTCTGAGGAATCATAATTTCTGTTTGATTTGCTGTTACATTGTAGCAAATTACACAGATTTCATGGATTGCCATATTGAATATTTTTAATGCAGTTTAAGAATGCTGTTAGAAATTTTAGCAGAAAGGTTATGACCACGTACATAGCATAAATTAATCCCATGTGGGAAAATGTATGTCTACAATATCTGCTGCATGTAGTGCTAGATACATGTACTATAAATGTGGATATTTATGTGCATTCTTAATTACGCAAATTAGAAGTAAGAACATTACTGTATACAGGGAATTTTTTGCTTCTGTTTTATTTTCGCCCCTTTCACCCTTATCACAGGTGGACGAATTTAAAATGGGGCGAATTCAAAGAACACAATATAATTTCGTAAACAGAACTGTGACTGGGTGAATTTAAAACAGGGCACAATTTTTCACAAGTGAGTAAGGGCAAAAATAACATGGGGCAAAAATAACAGTATTACAATACCTGAATTATGTATTGTTAAAACTAAATATACTTAAAGGTATTGGTACACCACGGGGATATTTACCTGAAATCTTTCATTTCACGTATTTAGCTTGAATTACCCCCACACAAAAATTTCCACATTTACAGTAATTTTTTTAAAGCATTATTAGAGAGGATAGAATAAATGTAGTCTCTCTTCCTTTGTAGGTTGTCTACAGGTGTTAAATTTATCTAACAACAAAATCAGTGTCCTGCACAGGCCGGAGGTATGGGACTGTAAAATGTTACAGATACTGGACCTCAGTGGCAACAGGCTGGGGCTCCCTACAGGGGATTCACCCATTCCCAGTCAAAAGACCAAGTAGGATACTAAATATGTCTTTAAGAAAAAATACTCATCCCGAATCAGCTTAGTACATCTAATTCATTTGTCTTAATCTGTAATATTTTTTCACTTCCAGAATACATGTACTGCCAAAAAGATTGAGTCGAACTTCTACAAGTGCTGAAAATGATTCTGCAAAAATTGTATTCCCATCATTTTTGGCTCACTGTCTGAACGAGTTAAATCTGAGTGATAATTGCTTGGATTGTGTTCCTCCATCTGTCTGTGAACTAGTATCACTGCAAACTTTAGATATATCAAGGTAAATGTTTAACATTAAAGAGAGATTTTTTAGATACTCTGGATTCATTGTTCATGGGGAACAATTGTTCATGGATTTTGTCAATCTCCATTGCCCATGAATTATCATCCCCTTCAATGATAATTTTGTCAACATATCAGTTTCAGAATCTCTCTTATACAATTTATCCGTAAAATTCCATTCCCATGAACCAGCAAAATTTCAATTACCACAAACATTGACACCAATGAATTAAAATAATTACATAGTATCTCGGTAGAGCACTTGACGAGAATTAAGGGGACTTTCTTTTGAAGTTTGGTCTAGTCCAATTTCTGCTGTCCTATTATATAGGTGTGAAAAAGCATACATGTACTTTGTATATTGTTTGAAAAAAAAAAAAGAAAAGAAAATGCACTTCTTTGAAGTTACAAATATATATGCTATTAATTTTTAGAAATCCATCCATAAAAGTACTACCAAAAGAACTTGGGCAATTAAGTCAGTGTAATAGCCTGAATGTCCATGGTACAGGGATCGCTGGGGATGAACCAGCATCCCCTGTTGGTAAGAAAATGTTAAGTTCAATAAAATTTAAGTATTAGACTGCAGTCATAAAGTAAAATTCATCTAAGGATGATGAAACATGTACATGTAGCTTAGAGAAAAATTTGTTGTAATGCTAAAGTTTCTTTACATGGCAATTGTTTTTACTAACATGTATTGAAATGAGCCAAAAAACCTTGATCCTTTTTAGATTGTCACATATGGACAAAAAAAATGATTCAGAGTCTGAATGAAAAACTTCGACAGAGCAAAGGGTACTACAGAATAAAGCTGGTTGTCATCGGCAAAAAGGTACTGAACGTTAAATATCCACAACGCTCTTCATCCCAGAGGTAATTCTTTCGTGCATTTTGAATCTCAATATAAATATATTTACTTTTTGTCTAGGATAAAGGGAAAACAGCCATTACAAACCTACTGGGCTGTAAAGCCAATATCGAGTTCCATGGTACTGGACTTCGGAGGGTAGAGACCATTCTGTCTCCCAAGAAGAAGGGGAGTAGTATTCTGAGTAAACTGGTATGTGTGTGAATGCCATTTTTAAAAAATCATTTTGTTATACAGTGTACTTGTATAAGTGAATCAATACAATTAATTTTCCTTTATCAAACATATGTGTCTACACATCTGCCACATTTTTCTCTAGCTTTAACAAAGATACAACAACTGATAACTTTCTACATACCGTACATTGTAATATATTAAAAGTTTGAAAATAAACAGTATAATTTGCTTTAACAAGTAAAAGATTGTTTTGGATTGGCATGATTTCTTCTAATTCTGACTTTGATATGAAGATAATCTGTTTCCTAATTGCCGAATTGAAACTGTAAGAGCTAAAATCTAAACATATGTATCGCAGCCACACCATCATAAACACAGAATTCGGACAGAGGTATGACTAATACACTTGTGTTACAGTATGTTAACAGTAGTCTCTTTCCTTTCTTATATTTAAAACTTAAAGTCCAGAATCATTGAGAGGAACAAATTTTATGAATTCTTTTCATCCTAGAGGTTTTATTTTAAAAATGTAAACTACTGAATTGTTGGGAGTGCCTGGATTATTATACATATACATGTACTATCCTGAATATTTGTTGGTACAACATACTTTATAGTTCCTCTCAATCATACTGGCTGGACTCTTGTACTATAAACATACTTTATTCTACAGTAAAACATATGAGATATAGCAGACTGTTAAGTTTCTGTGTTGTATCCATTATAATAAGTTACTACTTTGCAGTAGTTTGGGACAATTGTGACTTTGCTAAAAGCAAGTACATGTATTCACTATGTTTGCTATAGAGATGTTTTACTGTATAAAACTAGAACTTCACTAATTGTCTTATCAATTAACAGCAAATTGCATGTTTTGGAACATTTACAGTCTCTATAGCTGCATGAATTATAATAAATGCCTATGCAAGATTCTTGTGTTTGTTTGGGTATTTTGAAGCACTGACTTGCCACTAGTGTAGCTTAATATGTCTATCCTGTTTGCTTCATGAATGACATTTGAACAATAGTCACTAATCCTTATTTAGTTCTGAGCAGAGTTAGGTGAATTCTTCTGATTTAAATACTCACAGTAAACGTACATAAATTAGCACACTCAAAATTTAGTGCAATCACCCTCTTCAAACATGAATTTATTAGCACTCTAGAGTTTGAACAAAGACATATATATAAGCTTTAATCATATTTTAACGTGCACTTAAACTAGCAGCCAAGAAGCAGTGCAAAAGGTGCTGAAATATGATTACCGCTAAAATCTGCATGTGTACATAAATTGATGTATTCAAAATTTAGCGCAGTCACTGGTTATTGGGTGGTTGGCATAATCATGAATTATGAACGTCCGTGCCGTGAATTGTATTTATCAATGATTTATTAAAAGTACATGTATTCATGAATAAGCACATTATTGTCCACGCCAAAGCCGCTAAAATATGAAGCTTGCTTTTTTAAGTACACATACAGTAAGTACCTTTACAGTAAATCCAGTATCTTTATTTTAGCAATGAATTCTCCTTAACACAGTTTTAGTAAGCACTAGTGCGAGTTTAGTGGGGCTTGGCAGAAGAACATGAACAATAGGCTATGTAATGGTTTTTGGTCCCATTTGAGCAACTATAATTATTTATAATCTGAAAGAGAAAACTAGAGAAAAAAAGTCTTTAAATTTCATATATTTCCATTTCTATTTGTTTTCTCTGTGATAATTCTTTGAAAGTTAGTTGATTTGATTTCTTGATCATTCTACCGGCATGTAAATTTCGCCAAGTGATACGTCAGGAGCTAAAGAGGCGTAATGTGCATGTAAATCTTGTGTGTCTGTCTTTGTGTCTGACGCTAAGGAGGCCTAATATGCATTTAAATCTCATGCGGCTGTCTTTGTGTTCAACGTCAGTGGACAGGGACTTTTGAAATTGACATGGGAGGCCTCGTGTAATTAAAATTTATTAGTCTACATTTTTAAAATCTAATTAATTTACAAATTTATTTCACCATGAAATGGAAATATAAGGAATCGCTGTCTAGTTAGTAGAGTATGCCAGGGACATCAACGATAGTTGAAAACGTGGGATAATTTATGCATAACGGGCTTCACCCGTTATGCAAATTATCCCACGTTTCCAACTATCGTTGATGCCCGGCATACTCTACTAACTAGACAGTGATTCCTTAAATATATTTTCAGGTTGTTGCATTATTATCTATCTCCTATTAAAAATGCGAAGGTGAAGGTCAAAAAATTTAATGTGTCCTGGTACTACATAATGTGTAAGGCAATATGAGGTGCATTCTATCAATAATGTTATGCTTTGAATATGAACCTATCACTGATTATTCTCAAGGCAGCTACAGAAGCTGTTCAAATCAAGAATTCCTGAAATGAATGCAAAAAAAGTTGTGGAGCATAAATTTTATTTGATTTTCAATATTTTTCACAATATTACCCATTATCAAGTTAAGAAAAACAAAAAATGTGTCGTGAAATCCCCCCAAATTAAGTCAAGAGAAATTTTCCCCCAAACCAGTGTCAAAAGGTTAAAAGATTTGTTTATTATTTTACTTAAAGACTTTTACAGAAAAACATGAGAAATGATTAAATTTTCTGTTACATGTTCAGAGGGACCACTCTAAGAAGGTACCTGTAGAACTGTGTGTTTGGGATTTGGCAGGAGACGAGTGCTACAAGGCTACACAACACTGCTTCTTCACTCCTAACTCCCTGTACCTTGTGGTCTGGGATCTCTGGTCTCTGGCTAAAGACATGGACAAAATAGGAAAACTTCTCTACAGTATAGAGGTAAAACCTATTCACTGTGGAGGCAGCTAGCAGTCACCTTTATGATATTATTGCCTTTCAAATTTTTGGTGTTAGCTGTTCATTTTTTTTTGTCCTGTTTGAAAAGAGACTTGTTGAAGTTTGGCGTAAATGAAAATTAAATAGCTATATCTAACAAATTAAAATAGTGAATTTAAGAATAAATGAAAAAAACATTGGAAATTCATCAGAAAAAAATTATAGATGCTTCAAGACAGATAGGGTTCTCACTACTTACACTATATTTAAATAATTGTATTTCATGATTTTCCCTCCATTAGGCAAGAAATCCAAACTCAAAAGTGATCATTGCGGCCACTTTTCTTGACAAGAATAACAGCCCAAACAGAGTCAATGAGGTGACAGAGATCAAGGAGAAGCTGCTGGAGGCGTTTGGAAGTTCCTCAGAAAGATGTGGGGGACTCTGCTCCCAGCTGGAGGATTACAATATCATCCCCATGTCTTGTACCACAGGAGAAGGTGGGGGTCAAACTGATGACCTAGTTAACAAAACTTTCTATCACTACATAGTCTTTATTTTTTTTGAGATTTAATTTAATGGCCAACGTTTTACACCTATGTCCACTAACTCTTTTTCAAGCTTTGTCTGTGTGTGTTTGTGTAATATATGTCTGTCTGAATAATTTCAACTTTTTAATTACTGGTATTTTACACATGTAATGTTTGATGGCTGAGACAGCTTTGGGTTGCCTGAGCTATTGTTTAGCATAATTGCAAATACATCAATCTTGGCAGAATTGCTCTTTGTATGGTTGCATTTTGGATATTAGTTTCTGCATAGTTATAATTGCCAAACCTTCTTTCTATTATTGAATATTACGTAGTATTTCCTTTTACAAATATAAGAACCCAGTAAAGTGTCCTCTGATTGGAGACCTTTTGTTGTTGTGATGTGCTTTCTATACTTGCAAAAAAGTAGAAAGAACCCTCTTTTTTAAGGTGTGGCTGAGTTAAGAGATGCACTGTACAATGCAGCCTTCACTATGAAGGAGGGAGGGAAATCTGGAGGGAGGTACCTGATGGGGAGGAGCATTCCAAACAGCTATATACAGGTAGAGAGGGAGGTGTACAAAGAGCTCGAGAACCGAGTCAGAGATGAGAAACCCACCTTCCTTGTCCAGAATGAGCTATATGAACTCATTGAGAAAATCCCTGGCTGTGATATAGAGATTCCTCAAGAAGTATCAGAGGGTAAGTATAGCTTGGTAAGGCAGGTAGTTTATGTACTTACATGCAGCTACCCGATAAATCAATAGATATATTTCTTAAACTTATCATTGTATGAGATGATAAACTTAATTCCTCTTATTTAATTGCACATTATGGTTGTGCAGTTTATGTGCATATCTTACAAAAAAGTCATAAATATGTGAATTACTGAACTTTTGAAAAAAAATATCAACCTCAGTCAACCGTTATAGTTTGCATAGGTAACACTTTCTAATTATGTTTTAGTTGTGAAATTCCTGGTCACTTCAGGAGCAATGTTACATTTCAATGAACAGCTTCAAGGACTGAACAACTTCTATTATCTGGACCCGACCTGGTTGTGTGATGTTTTGTCACAGGTTCTAATGGACTCTGTAAGTTGTAGAAAAGGACCCTTACATAACTCAGGACACACATAATGTGTTAACCTGTCTTCTTTGCTGAACTATTAGTGTGCTCTATCCTAAATTGCTTTGTTTTACTCTTCAATAAAATAATTTTTTTTTAATTAAATGAAAAGAATATAATTCCTTGTGACTTTTTTGTAAGCTCTAAGATTTCCCATACATTACGTTTAGGCATTGGTTCGCTCTATGAAGGGAGGAAAGATCCCCTTGTCTACAGTGCAGGACATGTATCTAAACGATTCCAGATTTCCTAATGAGAACGTTCCTCAATACATACAACTGCTGGAACAATTTGAAATTGCTCTCAAAGTGGAATCAGATAAAAAGTAAGTATTTTCTACTTGAAATGAAGTACAATTTTTGGCATGAAGAGGAAATTAGTGTGAGATGGTTGTCTTGTACTAAGTGATATTTGGGTGTATTTGACAAATCATTTTTGTAATTATCAGTCTGATTAAAATCGCATCTTGTTAGAGTCCAAAATTCTGATATTTGCTGTACAAATCAGATTGTGTAATTATTAAAGTAGATTGAGTTGGCACTAGAACATGGTGCTGCAATTGTGATCAAATCTAAACATAAAGCATGGAAACACACACAAGAAAGAGTGTAGTTTACTGGACAGAGAAACTTTTTTCTTTTGATTGACTGTCATGTACTCTTTGAGGAGGAAGTACATGTACATATGCTCTCACCGTTTAAATTGGGAGTGGGGGGTTGAGGGTTAGGGGTGGAAGGGGCATATAGATTCTACCCTAGTCCATTTTTACATCCATCCTGCCGTGGTTTCCAAGCAATATCTTGAGAAGGGATGGTTTCTGTATTTTGACACTCTATAGGTAGTTTGTTTCCATTCAATTGCATCAGAATAGTTTTAAATAAAATTGAGTATTAGAGACCAATTGAAATTTTGACTGTTTCTTAGAAGATCAATCACATTTGAAAATAAAAAAAATCGATAAGACTTGAAATCAATGTTATAAAATACCATAGGTAATACAATATACAGAAATAAACAACAGACATGTAAAAAAAAAATCTTTTTAAGTTTAATAATTACAATGTATATTAAATTGAGAAATCTAGAATATTAAACACATATTCAAAATTACAGGTTATTTATTCCTTCTCATCTTCACCCTAACCCTGGTATGGACCTCCAATTTCATGGCCGGGACGGAAAGCGAGTGTTCCGACTGTATCAGCTGGCCTTCATCCCTAACGGACTGTGGAGTAGGTTGTTGTCTAGGATCATGTGTAGGATCGAACTCCTGGCCAATGATTGGGTCCTCAGGTCCTCAGTCAGAATGAAACCTGGGAAATCCTTCTACAGATTCAATCCAAAATCTAGTCTCACTGGGGGGTAAGTATATTTCAAAACAATGCTACAAACTTTCATTTCTGTGTTATATAAAGTAGATTTTTTTGAAAGATTTCACAAATGAAAGGAAGTAATTAATTTAGCAGTTCAATTGTCAAAAGTGGATTTCCTTATCATAAAATGGTTTCTACAGCAAAGGCTTGAAGATAAGCAATAAGGACATGATATACTGGGAGGATGGGATGTTTCTGAGACATGAGAAGGGGCACTTTATGCTGGAATCCATCCAGTTGACCCAGAAGGAGGGGTACATAACTCATGGTATCCTCATCACTGTCCAGTCTGTAGAAGAGGACTACTCTATAATGGGGATGATTGTAGATGCTGTGGAGGATCTCCTCAGTGATCATTACCCAGGTAATAAAAAAGTAAAACTATTTTTAATCAATGTTACACATGATGCTGAAAAGGATTACTCAGCCTTTTGGTTAGTATGAAATTAGAATGTTTTGGGACAATGACCTCTGTGAGCTGAGTGGTCATAATAGCTCATAATAGAACTACATGTACATGTATATCTCATGGATTAACAACCATTATATTTACCAAGAGTTGAAGATCACTTTAGTTTTTATTCAAAAACCATGATGACTTTAACATTCAGGTTTGATGGACTATGATATGATGGGGAGACCAAGAATACAGAGATTTGCCGTCTGCCCTATTTGTTACAACATCACCTCCACTGTCCTCCCATCTCACCTTGACCACTTCACAGTGGAGCACTGTGCCAGACTCCTTCTGTCTGGGGACAGTGCTGTTTGTAGGAGGGGATCCAAGGTCCCTCTCAGTCAACTGGTCCCAGAGCTACTGATGCAGGAACTACCAAAAAAATTCCTGCTTGATCCAGATAAACTCCAGGTGGATCCATCCAATAAAAAGGCTTATCTAGGGTCAGGGGTCACTGGTTCAGTTTTCAAGGGAAAATATGGAGATGTGGAAGTAGCTGTGAAGTATTATCATGGAGCACCAACAATGTCTGGGAAACACTCTCTAGACAGCAGTTATTACTCTGGGGGTAACATTTCTAGTGTGGAGAGGAACAAACCAGTAAAGACTGATGAGGATGATGATAATGATGAGGAAGAGGACTATGTGAATGCTTTACAGATGCATTTAGACAAAGATGAAGTTAGCAGCATTAAGGTATGGAGCACTGCATCATATACCATTGTTTACTAAATTTTGTCAAAATTCCTGTTGTTTTTCAATCCATCCATGCACAAAATCTTGTTTTGTTTCACACTGATCAGGAGCCACATATTCTTGTAGGCATTCCGGGCATTTATGGAAATGAGACAAGAAGCTGATGTCACTAGCAAGTTGGACTATCCTTGCATTGTCTCATTGATTGGCATTTCCATCCGACCAGATTTATTGATGTGTCTGGAGTTAGCTCCCCTTGGCAGTCTGAGGAGGGTGCTGGATAAGGAGATTGAGGGGAGAGAACCCTTCAACAAATACAGGGATAAGGACAAGGTCTTCTGGCCTGTGTTCAACAAGGAAACAAACTTCAAACTTGTTCATCAGGTAAAAAATAATACCCATGTATCAAAAAAGGCTAGGAGGAACTGGCTGCTTTTTGCTTCTTTGCTTATGGATTTACCGAGTTTTATAGATATCCATGATGTCATGAAGCATTATGTTGTTAATTACCGTATATACTCGCCTATAAGTCGGTCCGCCTATAAGTCGGTTGTGATTTTTGAGGTTATTTTGGAGGGATTTTCCATTGACCCGCTTATAAGTCGGTACAACTTTTTGCCAGGATCGGTGGACAATTTCAAACCAATGCTCTAATGTTTTAACATGTGTTTCAAATAATATTTTGAGAAATTACGCCGATATTTTATCTCTCTTTTTTCTTCTCTTATAAATTTCATATCAATACTCTTATGTATTTACCTGTGTTCAAATAATATGTTAGCCTAAGGGTATGACATCGGTAATTAATATTTTTATTTTTCAACAAACCAAACCACTACCATTTTAGTTTCTTTCTATACTGTTTTGTTTAAGCGTTAAATCCCTTGTCTTGTATATTTTATACATCGATCTCGATCATTGGCAGATCTCTGTTTCTTTGGCATGGTGATGAACTATGTAATGAGTCTACCAACATTTTGATGATATTTAATTAAGAGGTGCTCAATGTCCAAGCCATATCTATAGTTTTTAATAACGCTATGTTTGATCTTATATTAGCAATTATCGTCTCTTAATAACCTGTATCCCTTACCTGACACCATGTTTATTTAGTGGCACGCGCCCCGAGAAAATTGTGCACCACACATGGGAAGCATTTTCATAAACAATCGAGTTTTAATAGACTCAAGAATAATATTCTAAATTATTTTTTAAGAATATCATATCTGTTTTCAAAAACATTGCAGACGGTACATATAATTATATATTAATCCTAAACGTATTATATCGGGTTCGCAATTCCATTTTACCGATAAACGATAGATTTACAGTAAGTCACAAGTTAATATAAAGAAATATTTTTGTTAATAATTAATCAAATAAATAATATACAGATCAAAATAAAATCATTAAAACATGTAAATACTTTTATTCTATATATAATCTTAGAATACATAAATAATATAATACGTCCAGACATTCCTCAACGATAATCGTCGAAGTTGTGTAAAAAAAAATACTACATTTCGTCGTCCAGAAAAATACCAAGCTTTTGATGACTCGCCTATAAGTCGGACATAGAGTTTTGGATCAAAAGTTAACTCCCAAAAAACCGACTTATAGGCGAGTATATACGGTACATTGTGTTGCATTGCTGGATTACTTTTTTTCTTTGGATGTATTTTTATTATGATCATTCTGGTTTTTTATGCCCCGTATCAAAGATTCGGGGGTATATAGTTTTTGCCTTGTCCGTCCGTCTGTCTGTCTGTTTGTCCGCAAAAACTTTAACATTGCCCATAACTTTTGATTGGTTGGAGCTATGGCTTTCATATTTCACATGTGTATTCCTTGTGACAAGACCTTTCTTTGAGTACCACCTTTTTTGACCTTTTGACCTTGGAGTTTGACCCAGTTTTGCAAAAATTTTTCCCAACTTTAACCTTGGCCATAACTTTTAAACGATTGGTGCTAGGGCTTTCATACTTCACATGTTTATTCCTTGTGACAAGACCTTTCTTTGGGTACCACCATTTTTGACCTTGACCTTGGAGTTTGACCTACTTTTGAAAAACTTTAACATTGGCCATAACTTTTGAACGGTTAGTGCTAAGGCTTTCATACTTAGTATATGTAATCCTTGTGACAAGACCTTTCTTAGGATACCAACAACTTTGACCCTTTGACCTTGACCTTGGAGTTTGACCTACTTTTGTAAAACATTAACATTGGCCATAACTTTTGAACGGCTGGTGCTAGGGCTTTCATACTTCACATATGTAATCTTTGTGACAAGACCATCCTTTGGATTCCAACTACTTGGACCCTTTGGCCTTGACCTTGGAGTTTGACCTACTTTTGAAAAACTTTAACATTGGCCATAACTTTTGAATCGCTGATGCTAGGGCTTTAATACTTTACATATGTAATCCTTGTGACAAGACCTTTCTTTGGATACCAACAACTTTGACCCTTTGACCTTGACCTTTGAGTTTGGTTTACTTTTGGAAAACTTTATCCTTGGCCATAACTTTTGAACCGTTGGTACTAGGACTTTCATACTTCACATATATATCCTTGTGACAAGACCTTCCTTTGGATACAAACAACTTTGACCCTTTGACCTTGACCTTGGAGTTTGACTTACTTTTGGAAAACTTTATCCTTGGCCATAACTTTTGAACCGTTGGTACTAAGACTTTCATACTTCACATATATATCCTTGTGACAAGACCTTCCTTTGGATACCAACAACTTTGACCCTTTGACCTTGACCTTGGAGTTTGACTTACTTTTGGAAAACTTTATCCTTGGCCATAACTTTTGAACCGTTGGTACTAGGACTTTCATACTTCACATATATAATCCTTGTGACAAGACCTTCCTTTGGATACCAACAACTTTGACCCTTTGACCTTGACCTTGGAGTTTGACTTACTTTTGGAAAACTTTATCCTTGGCCATAACTTTTGAACCGTTGGTACTAGGACTTTCATACTTCACATATATAATCCTTGTGACAAGACCTTCCTTTGGATACCAACAACTTTGACCCTTTGACCTTGACCTTGGACTTTGACCTACTTTTTGAAAACTCTAACCTTGGACACAACTTTTGAAAAGTTGTTGCTAGGGCTTTCATATTTAACATGTTTTTCCTTGTGACAAGACCTTCCTTTGGATACCAACAATTGTAATCCATTGACCTTGGAGTTTGACCTACTTTCGAAACACTTTAACCTTGGTTATAACTTTTGAACGATTGGTGCTTCAGCTTTCATATTTCACCTGTATATTTCTTGTGAGAAGGCCTTTCCTTAGGCACCATTAATTTTGACCATTTGACCTTGACCTTGATGTTTGAATAATTTTTGAAAAACTTTATAACATTTTCCTTATCTATTCAATGGTTGCTGCTAGGGCTTTCATATTTCACAGGTATATTCCTTGAGACAAGACCTTACTTTGGGTACCAACATATTTGATTTGCATTTGAGAAAGTTAAACCTGTGCTATAAGTTGCCATACGGGGGCATCAGTGTTTCAAAAACACATCTTGTTTCTTAAATGTGTTGATTTGTAAAAGTAAGTCAATAACAAAATTTTTTGTGGTCTGTCTTACTTACATTGTCATGACATAATCTATTGTTGTCACAAGATTGTTCGTGGCCTGGATTATTTACATAAACATGACATCATCTACCGAGATCTAAAGTCTGACAACATCCTGGTCACAAGTCTAGACCCAGAGGCACCAGAAAATGTTAAACTGTCTGATTATGGAATTTCAAAGTTCAACACATCTGGAGGGACAGTTGGATTAGTAGGAACTCCAGGTTATCAGGCTCCGGAGATCATGGATGGCCTGGCTTATGATGAGAAGGTAGATTAGTAAGAGCCATCAGTGCTACTTGTTCCATACTGTCTTGTTAGAAAGTATAACCAAAGATGGCAACATCTTATATTACATAAGCATATACATGTACCTGGGGTACTTGGTTTTATGATTAAGTCACGTAATTCAGATCAAAAACCATTGATTCAAAGAAATAGTCTTATATTTTCATGATTTTAGGTGGATTTGTTCTCCTTTTCAATGGTTTTGTACGAGATACTATCTGGAGAGAGGCCATATTGTGAATATAAAAATATGGCACAGATATCAAGAGCCATGAAAATTGAGGCCAAAAGACCAAACCTACAGGTAGACAACTTTAGAATTCATTGGCAAAAAATACTTAGATGAGACACTGAAATCATTCTACCCCTATGTTTGTGTATTTGTCAATCCACTAAACCAGTGTGTGGTCCATAAGTTTGTAATGGAGAAACTTTCAAAGCATATTTTTAGCTCTACTGGTCAGAGACCAGAAGAGCTTATGCGATAGTAAGGTGTCCGCCGTCCGTCCGTCTGTCTGTAAAAAATTTTTCAAAACGCTACTCCTCGTACAGTTTTGGTCTGATTTCAATATAACTTGGCACACAAGTAGACCACACTAAGATACATAATTTTTGCATCGGTTTTTGATTTCGATGAGTGGTGTTGCCATGGTTACTAAAAATAGAAATTTCTGTGAAATTCCTTAAAAATGCTACTCCTCCCACAGTTTTGGTCTGATTTCAATATGATTGGCATACAAGTAGACTACATTAAGATAAATAATTGAGTGCATCAGTTTTTGATTTTGATGAACAGTGTTGCCATGGTTACTAAAAATAGAAATTTTTGTGAAATTCCTTTAAAACGTTACTCCTCCTACAGTTTTTAATTGATTTCAATATAACTTGGCACACAAGTAGACTACATTAAGATACATAATTCTATTCATTTCTGCATGTTGCAAAGTTTTAAATCCAAGTGCTACTTTTTCTTTGTTACATGTATATGTACAGACCAGTAGAGCTACAGTCTCATCTGAAACTTCTGGTTTCATGAATGGCTTTTTCTTACCATTATCAGAGCTGCTAACCCTTAAGATTTTGGCGTAAGGCTTACAGTTTGAGCCTCAAAAATACACCTTCTGGTTTATCTATTTATCTTTACAATTTCCATTTCTCTCTATCAAATGTTGAAAATACCAGTATTTTCATCATCTGTCTGCCTTTAGTTTTCACTATTAAAGTAAAAAAGTCATATGAATATGACATGTTCTTACAGCGCTTACTTGTATTGTCATTCTCTGTTTCTATGCTTACTTATGATGTCAAACATCTTAACATTAACAAAATGGAAAAATATCCAGTGACAGGGGTTTAAGTTGCCCCCTGAAACTATTCTTACGATTTTTTGTTTTATAATGTTGGCAGCTCTGCATTATGAACTTTTCGGAAATGGGAGATATTTCTTATACAACAAACTTCCTTTCAGGACTTTAACATAGACCCCCGTTTTCCAATGATGGAGCGTCTGATGCAGCTATGTTGGAACCAAGATGCCACTAAACGCCCGAGTGCCAGGGACATCCTTACCACTAACTATATGATGTCAGCAGATTTCCTGGCTCAACACAAACACTTCCCCCGGGAACTGGAAGAAGTGGACCATGTTACTTCTATAACAGAGGTATGTATGCAAACTTGTAGAGGATAAAAATACACAGTTCTCATGCCTCAAAGAGAATTTTGGAGGACATAGTTTTTGTTCATTTGTCTGTCCATAACTTTAACATTGGTGATAACATTTGAACTATACATGACAAAAACTTCAAATTTTGCCGAAGTGAATGTAAAATTTTATGTTTGTTAAAGGTCAAATATAAGTTTTCAATGGCAACATTGAATTCCGTTTATAAAATCATCTTTTTTATATAGAAAAAAGCATACCAGTCCTGTAATGGTTTTCATGCAGCAAAATTTATTTCCCTTTTTTACACATGAAACAGCATATATATTTTTCATGTACATTAGTTTAAGCACTTTAAGCTATAGAACTCAACACAGTGTTTTAATCATTTTTTTTTTTTAAGTACTCTTGCTATTTCAACTTGGCAATATAGTTTATATTCCCAGTCCAATTAATTTGTTTGTGTGTTTTTTTTTAAGCACGGTGATGTGAAACAACAAGTGTGGATATGGGAGGGAAGTGGAGACGACCGCTGCTACCACATCCTGGATGCCACCATGTGTGTTTATCAGGCCTACAGGAAGCCCCTGCCTGGTGCCTCAGTAACATGTATGGAGAAGATTGGCAAACAGATTTGGATTGGAACTGAGGTCTGTCAGCATTTTGTGTTGTCTATAAGTAGAATATGTTTTTATAAAAATGGATATTTACCAGTAATGCAGATGTTTCTATGTGAACACTTTTCTTTGAAACTCCCTTTAAAGTGTATTTAGAGAACATTTAATATTGTGTTTTTAGTAATTTACAAAGTAGATTGTATTGGGGGAAGGAGGTGGGATTGGGAACGGGAGTCAATCTGACATGGTGTTTTCATTTTTAGGATGAACAGATAGAAGTTTTTGGACAGCAGGGAGTTGGACATCCATCATCTTTAAAGAAAATTGACAACTTGGGGGCCACTCCTACATGTATAGAGTATGTCAAGGAACCTGATTCAGTAAGTGCTAGAATTCAAAAGAAAAGATTTAAGAATAAGACAAGGACTAGATTGTGTAAGACATGAGACATAATTCATAAGACATGATTATAACAAGCTGTAAGGACAGCTAATACTGCTGTGTTGTATTTGTTATATTCAATAAGTAATACATGTACATGTTTACTTCTTTGAAAATCATGGTAATAAATATGACTATCATAAGAAGGTATTCAGCATAGGCATGTTCATTAGAAGCATGTTTTACTGTAGACCAGGTATTTTGGCAAGTTTGACATCTCATTGATAGCTCTCTTTTTTTTATTCCATGCAAATGGCTACAGAAGAGAAAAATAAAGAATATTTTCAAATTCATAATTTGTGAATTTTGAATTGGACAGTTATAATTTTCAAATTTATAATTTGTGAATTTTGAATTGGACAGTTATGGAAATTACCTGTTGTAAAGCAACTGGGCAGGGTGTTGTTGGTAGCCATTGGTATTTTTCAGTTAGTCAAATTTCAAATTAATTTTCTTTCATTTTCAGAGCATCAAGAGAGTATATATCTTATTAGGAGATGGTCAGCTTAAACTGTATCACAATATGAAGAAACCTGAGGTGATTGAAGGAGAGGAGGTGAACATGAGGCACCAGTTTAACTGGCACCTCAAGAAGACCCTGAGGTTGTCCAAGAGGACTGCCTCATGTATGGCTTATGTAGAGGAGACTGAAGAAATGTGGTGTGGTTGTGGAAGTGAAATTGTGATAGTGAGCAGCAGGACTGAGATGATAGAGAGAAGAATTGAGATAAACAAAGACTGCCAAGCCTTACTAGAAAATAAATTACCTGATGTCGCAAAGCTTGTTCACATGGACTTCAGAATATGGGCTCTTCTTGCCAACAGTAGTGAGATTCTTGAATTCGATACAGAAATGGGCATTTTGACACACATTCTTAAATGTGATCAGATTAATCCACACCGAATGGTTGTTTCTAAATACATTTCTGGTGGTACGATCAATGTACAAGCCAGGCCAATATCCCGAAGAATGTCTGATTCTTCTTGTTCCGGTGACAATATCTCGTCAGGGGAGTTTGATAAATGGTTTGATGATGACTTGGCTAAACAATCTGGTGATGATAATGGCCCACCCCCTCCAGTTCCTGAAAGGAGCTATTCAATCAGTTCCCCCCGCCGTCAAGCCTTTTCCCCACCCTTGCCTCCAAGGCGCCCAACCAGTTGTAACAGGTCTAAAACCCTCCCTACCAGGACCAGTCCAACCTCCCAGAGTCCACCCCCACAAAGTCCGGTTGCCTCCAGAAGTCGGCACCCCCTTGTCAATTCAGTGGTGGGTGTGGGAGACTCTTTATGGGTGGGCAGATCCAGTGGTGACATCTTAATCATCAACGTCAAATCAACATCTCAGACTCAGCATGGTTGTGTGATGGCTGTAATGCACAGTCACTGTGATAAACCACACATAGCCCATGAAGTGGAGAAACTTGTCACTGTGGGGGACCTGATATTTTCTGTCATAAAAGCTGACTCTAAATATTCCGAAGTAACAGCTTGGGAGGCATATGATGCATCAAAAATTCAGAAACTTGAAAAAATATGGGCACGTCCAAAGAGTCTTGTGTACACCATGAATACAGATGATGTAGTAGAAATTGGAGAAATTTAAATAAGAAATGACTTTTTTAATCGGCCAAGTGCAATGTGTGAAACTGTCTTTTCTAACGAAACATTTATAGTGCAATAATTGTACCATATATGCTAAGCATTACTGTTATTTTTTTATCAAAAACGTTTATTCATGACTGTTGATTATGTAGTTTAACTATTTTGAAACATTTTTAACCACATAGTGCATTAGTTATTTTGACTGTTTTTATATTGTATCTTATTCAATAATCATCACAGATAAAACTGATATTAATCTTGAACCAACATCAATCGCTCATATTAAATGGTAATGTTATATTTTCTCTGTTGTCCTTAATCTTTGAGGGGGAAATTTCCAATTTTTTTCTCCTTTTCTGAAAATATTTTGACATTTTTCAAATTTTTTTTTTCTGAAAATGTCCTGATATGATAGTATATTTATTATATTTCCTTGTTAGTGTTTGGATATAGGATAAATCTATAAAAATTAGTGTATTATCCAAATGTAAAATTCAGGTTCATTATTATGTTTTTTTCTTTGTAATTGTAATTTTTTTATTTTGAGTGGGGAAGGGGGGGGGGGGTACAAAAGAGTACTTTTATTACATCATAACGTAAAAAGCCTGCTCTATTCTGATTCTGTCATAATTGCAGATGCGTTACCTTGATATAAAATCTCAATATTTGAGGGGTCGGTGTGGGGGAGGGGATGCAAAAGGGTACCACTTATATAATAATTGTTTATTTTGATTCATCTACATGTTGAATGATGAATGAAAAGTTTAATCATTAATATTAAGTTTTCACATTGAAAACTACATTAATTTGTATATGCAATATTTTAGTGTCCAAGAACACCCTCTCTAAGTTACCCAGGTTACATGTACTTAATATACTTCATATTTACCTAAAATGTTCAAATAAAAACACTATATATTTTCTGAAAGGTCTTCATCCAGATATATATATTGGGGGTGGGAGTTTAACACCCATAAGTTTAATCATTAATTCAGGAGATCCTTTAAAATACAACATATGAGACTAATTGTATTTTATCTTAATTAAAAAAAACATAACACATGTTATAAATGTAAAAATGTGATTTAAAAACTTGAGTAAATAAAAAAAAATTGTAAATTGATAATGTTCATTTTATTCACCATGGAAAATGAATGTTATGTCATTAAAAAGAATTGATTTTTTTTTAAATTTTCATCGTTGGCTTCCCAAATCAAATGCATTTACTTGTATGTTGTGAAGGAAAAGCATAACAGCATGAGAGAGAGAGAGAGAGAGAGAACAAGATCTTCAAAAAGAGAAGAGAGCATCTTCTCATCTTTAAATTACCTAAGCTATACAAAAGATAGCTAGGGCACAATTAATATACATAAGGAATTCAAATACTGGGTACTTTCTAGTGTACAAAATTTCAGGTTTGTTCATAAGCGAGGTGAGACTTGTTTCTTAATTTTCTGCAAGGAATTACAAGTTTCAATCATTTATTGAATACAATGCTTTGGACTTGAATTGATACTAATATTAGTAAGTCTAAAAGTTTGAGGCTGAAATTTTCATACAATGGTGGCCCTAGCTGAAACTATAGGTCTTACTTATTGGTTATAGGTTTTTTTATTTTATCTGTTACAGTCCTATAAATGTGGACAGTGATGCTTAATGTAGAGTGTAAATCAAGCATATGGCATGCTCAATAATTTGTAGCTTGCTATAAATAAAATACAATCAATGATGTACACAGCTGAGGGATTAATGGAGTGTAAGAGTTGTGGGCCTTGGCTCTGCAGACAATTGATTTTGACCTCGAACTTAATGAACCGTCAAAAACATTCCTTTTACAGTCATTCAGTAAATGCAGTGGGTGTAATCAAAGAATTAAGTGTTGTTAAAAAACAGGTGCAGCATGTCTTTTAATTTAAAGGGACTATTTGGAAGTCGGCTCATTATTTATCTTGTACAAGATAGCTGGAAGCCATTTTCTGAGAAGCCCGCATAATTTTTACAAATGTAGTATGGAGTGTGTTGTAGGAGACTTTTCCATTGAAGATAAAATGTAGAGTTGTGAATGAGACACCTATTATGGAACTGTCCAGCCACGAAAAACTGACCAGTCAAGAATATAGACTGAAATACTTTCAACCCACACAAGGTAATTCAAAAGAAATAATCATGTCAAATTCAACGTTATCTAGTAAATGCCATATATATACTGCAGTGATTTCCTATTCTATTTTTATCTGATTGATAATGATTGTATGCATTTTTATTCACCTTGATAACAAGCATTCTATTTGTGTGCTATAGCTGTCAAGAATTACTGGTAAAGAATAATTTAAATTTCTTTGAGAAGCAAAATGATAAGTTTGTAATCATGTACTAGACGTACCACTTGCTATTCAAATATTGTTATGACCATATATATAAAGGAAATGAAACTTGACTGATCACTCTTTATTTACAATATATTACATAACTGTTATTGATGCATGATCCTCTTTGAATGTATGTGTGTATAGAAGTGTGAATTTGAAATTAAGTTTCCCAAATGGACTGATTTTTACAAAATCATGATAAAGATGATACAGGATATTTAACTTGAAAAACCTGTTTCATAAAAAGATATGTGCATAATTTATCAATAACAGGTTTCTTCTTCCCCGACTCAATATTTTTAAGGTGTTGAAGGCAAACACTGACTACATTACCATGAACAAAGTTTAAATTATCGTATTTATTTTGACACTTGTATTGCAAGTATTTAATATCTGATATGTTTTCATATGCCTTATGTATTAGAGAGCAAATATTGCTAATATTCTCTTCAAGTTAAAATTAGTTAAATTGTAATTTAGGAATTTTATAAGGGCTGAAGGAGGGTACGGGATTAATGTGATATATTTTGGATAATTTGGGAATAATTTGGTTCATGTTTAAAGCTAACACTCCTCCACTCCCTGACATTCTTCATGAAGTTAATTTTAAAATAGAGCTACTATAGTTCATGTGTGACAGGAGATAAAAATCCTATGTGCTGGTCATTGCCAATATATGTTTCATCAAATTCCTTATATATAAAAAAAAAAAAAAAAAAAAAAAAATAGAGAGAGAGAGAGAGGCTAGGGGGGAAAAGAAACTGTGTGTGCAAAAGAAAATAATTCTTAGATTAAACTTCATTACCGGTATCTCTTTTAATGCAATTCATGAGTATATTGTATTAATTTCTATTACTGTGAAAGGAATTGATTTGTTTGTAGAATATTTAAGGTGCCTGCTATGTGATACTTTGTCTGGGAATGTTCAAAACTGCATTTTAAATGTCTTCCTCATACATGTAGGTATCTCTATGGCAGTTGTATAGAGAATTTCAAAAAGCCAATGAAATCTTGCAATTACATACTTTAGTAACAAGTTATCTCCCTTTAACTTTTGAACTAAACATTGCATTAAATTCCATCATCCTATCAATGAAATGATAGTTTTCAATTTTAGCACTATGAAAGAAAAATTTAGATAATACAAGTTAAATACATATATTCAAGAAGAGATTTTTTTCATTAAAAAAACTTCACAGCATAGAGGATTTTTGATTTTCTGTTAATTATAGATTGTACTTTCATGATGTGTCTTATGCTGAAATTTATATGTTTACTTGTGGATGTTATAACAGTAAAAGAGAGAGAGAGAGAGAGAGAGAGAGAGAGAGAGATCTTGCTGATTTTAACTTGTTTTGTTTGACAAAGATTTTGATAGCAACATCCTTGCATCAGTTTATACTTTGCAGTTTCTCTGATTTGAAACATTGATGCAAATATGAAGAAAATGTATGCAAAAATTTCAGTGAAGTACTGGTATACCATGTATATATCCATCAACATTTGGTGGATTTACACCAGACACTTAATTAACTGCAAATATAGGTATAATCTTGATATAGATTTATGGTACTTAGCATTCAGTTTCTAAGTACATGTACAAGTAATGTAATTTTGAATTATAAATGTGGATTAAATTAATCCTCTGAAGCTATAAGTATATCATATACTGGGTTATAACTTTGAATTCAGTTGTAAATAAAACTAAATTAAGGTGATGCATGTTTATATATAAGTAATTATACTAGTTTATATTAATGTTTTAGATAAAAGAGTTTGGGCATGACAAGTGAAGTTCTAACTCATCAATCAAAATTTTATAAGACACATATCACATGCATAAACTGGAATTTGTAAACAAGGATAAATACATAAAGCATAAGACACATCAATGAACTTTTAATCCATGAATACATTTACTTTCTAAGGGTTGGGTAATGCATAAATCCATTTCTCTCCATGATTTAAATGAGGTTGGCTATTTGTCAAACAGAAAAGTGAAGTCATAAAGTTGACCAAAGGATATGTTGTAGTAAGCAAAAGTTGAGGTAGCATAGCCCTGAGGTATGGATGCAGGACTCGTGAAGTCAAATAAACACAAAGCGCCAGAATTTGTCAACAGATAAAGAATGGATGCAATTAACCAGTTGGCTGAAGGCAACCATAAACTGTGGATTTACTTATTAGGAAATAATGTGTGAAGCAAAAGGGTCGGTGGTTTTCTTGTGTGATAAGGTGACACCTTTCTAACTTACTGGTCTTCTATTTCTGAACTTTTTTCTTCTTCTATTGAGATTTTGAATTGTTCATACATGAAGGAGCCTTTTTAACGGATTAAAGAAAAAATATAATAATCATTGATGAGTTATGACTGATTGGAAGATATATTGGGTTTAACAGTGTCAATACAAACAGATCAGGATATATTATAAACGTGCCAATTAAGTTTCAATTTAAAAAAAAAATGTCGTGGATTTTAATCCAATCATCCAATGAATAAAATAATTGAGTTACCTAGTGCAAACATTCATCTTGTGTGCACATGCTACATATCTGTTCATAATGTGCAGAAAATGCTTTTGCTTCAGGATTTTACGCAAAAGAAGTAAATCTAGTTTGTACAAAAATCAGTTGATGCTGTGACAGAAATAAATCAAACTTGGATAATTCAAGAATGGCAAGTAATATAGAGTTGTGTTCTGATGAAGGAGGTCAAGAAATGGAAGAACACAGAGAGGACTGCTTCATAATTGACCTTTCAACAGGTCAAAGGTTGAATGAGGGTATAACAGAGATTGAGGATAAAATGTATAAAAGTGATTCTGAGAAGGATGAAAAAGAAAATGATTCAAGAGAGGCTTTACAAACTTTCAAAAGAAAAGATTCATCAGAAAATATTGTCATAGAGATCAGACCTACTGCCCAAACCCCCTCCCCACCCCCTGAAGGATTGAGGAGGTCTGGCTCCATGGAGAATGTGTCTGCTAAAGATTACTTAGTAGTAAGAGCTAATCGGAAACTGAAAATCAAACAGAAAAATCTGGAATTACAAAATGACACTTCTTATGATATAGATAATAAATTCAAGTTCCCAACTGAATCAGCAACTTCTGGTACAGAAATCCCATCGGAATCAGGTTCAGGGACTATTTCACAAAGTCAAGACAGTTGTTCAGAAAATGAAAAAGTAGTTTCTCAAGAACTGAAAGAAAGTGCATGTTTTCAAAATGAAATAACTAGTCAAGTGAAAAATCAAGATGAACTGATTGAACAACAGCAGAAAAGTGTTGAAAAAGATCAAATGGAAAAGGAATACACACAGGTAGAAAAGCTTGCTGAAGTTGTGGGTAGTGAAATGGAATGTTCTCCCAATTTCCAAGAAATTGAAGACAATGGAAATGAAAAAGCACAAGGCACTAGAACAGATATGGAGCTCAGTACAGATAATATACCTGAAAACCAATCGGATTTCACAGAGAAACTTGAAACAGATGATGTTAACAACCTAATAGAAACAAACAATGCCCAAATAAAGGAAAAAATTCATCCTTATCCAAGTATGATAACATCTGTATCTGGTGATGAAAAGGGCTCTAGTCCATTTTTCCTGTCAGATGAAGAGGAGGGAGACAATATTCAAGTTGCCACATTTTGTATGCAGAGTTTTGATGATGATATTGATGAACTTCTCAAAGATATACCAGAGGAACAGAGTGAAGAAGAAATATCTAAGCCTGGGAACAACCACAAAGAAAAAAATGACAATAAAATGGAATGTTCCTCCAATTTCCAGAAAAATCAGCCTTCTGCCTTAAATGACACTTTTTTGCAACAAGATGACTCTATGCTTAAAAATCTACATGAAAATGGAACATTTGAAAGTCCCCAGAGTAATGTTGCTGGAGAAGATTCTTGCAAGCCAAAAAATTCTTCATTTGAAAATGAGGAAATAACAAATATTTCTACAGAGCAGAGTTTATCACAGCTTGTAAATGAAACAACTTGTGAAGATCAATATGCAGCTTCTTCTACGGAAGCTTCAAGTGAGAAAACAATTTTATTTGAAGATAACAAAGTTAATGAATTGTCAAATACATCAACATTAGAACCAAAAGAGAGTGATCTGAAAAATGATGAGAATCCCAAGACATACTCTTCAGAAAACAAGGGATCAGTATGTGACGGATATGGCACTGCATGTGTGTTTAAGACAATTTTACCAAGTGAATCAATTTGTAGCAATCTATCACATGAAGTTTGGGACAAAACAATAGCCCCCGATACCAAATCTACAGACAATGTTAGTAATACAAGCTCACAGATCAGTATGCTTGCAAGTAACTCAGACTTAACAAATACAAAGAGTGATTCTGTTCAAGTGTACAACTTTGATACCAATTCACAAAAGCAGGAATTTGATATAGAAGGAGCATCAAACCTATTTAATTCTACAGAAAATCAAAAAGCAAATGATTCAGAGACTGAGTGTTTCAATGCAGGTCTGCAAACAGATCAACTTCAAGATGCACATCTCAATACTGATGCTTCAAGTAAAGATCCTCAAGACACCCCTGTGATTAAAAACATAAATACTGAAAGCTCAAACTCCACCCTTCAGCATACAAGCTCAACTGAAATTTTCAAGTCAGACATTTCATCAAAAAAGTGTTCACATGAAGATCTAGAAAGCACTAGCTCAAGTGAAGAACAAGTGAAAAATGCTTCAGATAATACAACCTCCTCAATGGAACAATTGCCACTAACTGAATCAAATCAAACCATGTCACCTAAAGAGAAAAATACACTTTCTGAAAGTAACTTGATTAAGAACATTACCCCTGAAATGAAAAGCAACTGCCTTGCATCTCAAAGTAAGTCAACACCTAAAAACAACATAACTAGCATCTTAGTTCAAACTTCATCATCTGAAAACGAATGTCCTGATAGAGACTTATCTAAAGCAATATTAACACCTGATTGTGACTTAACTAAAACCAAGTCAACACCCGATAGTGACTTAACTAAGACCATGTTAACACCCGATAGTGACTTAACTAAAACCACGTCAACACCCGATAGTGACTTAACTAAAACCATGTCAACACCCGATAGTGACTTAACTAAAACCATGTCAACATCAGAAAACAATATCAATTGTTTTGGAAATGATTCAGATGTAAAGAATGTATGTGTGATTGTGTTAAAGTCTGAAAAAGATGTAGAAATAATAGCTCCATCATCTGACTGTAGTGAGTGTAATGCAAAAGAAACTCTATCCTCTGACTTTTCAAATGAGGTGCCAGATAAATGGGAATCTTTCAGTACGTCAACAAAATCTTCCAAAGAGGCTGATTCCTCAGAGTCAGATGAAGAGGGGAGATTTGAAATTGCTCCAGTAGATCTCACTTCTTGCATCCTTTCAGAATCAGACCCTGAATCTCTGAATGAAAAACAACCAGAGAATGAAGGCAACAGCAATTTTGATGTTCTAAAGCATGAGCTTCTGAAGAATATAAAACTAAAATCATGTACCAAAACAGACTCTGTGACAACAGATGGTGACTTTGAAGTGGAAGAAATCATGAGAAATGAAGTCATTAATGATTCGGAACTGTTCCAACCAATAGCTTCGGTAGCTGCAGAGATTTGTAATGAATTTACAGATGACTCTAAAGAGGCTGTTTTTCTGGATGAAGCACCTGCTGAAGACAGAGATCAGACACTGGGTAGATGGTCTGACAGCTATCTGAGTGGATGTACTAGTGGAGAATCTGTGTATGAGGATGCCACAGATTCATCTGGAGAAGACTACACTACATGGGACACATTCCAGTGCTCTCTGACTTTGCAGGAATCCTTTACAGAGGCAGAGAAAAAGGAAGTTCCTCCTGTCAAAATTGTTGAGGTTCCATTTGAGGAAATTCAAGATGATGAGGGAGAAATTGATGAAAGCAAGCAATACAAGACTGTTATCAATCTTGATTCACTACAAGAGAAAACACAAGTTCAAAATGAGACAAAAGAGGATGAAGAGCCCATCAATTGTGAAAACAAATGTGTAATTGTTATCGACAAGAAACCAAATGAAAGGGAAAGTTTAAATTCTGTTCAGCCTGTTGCTGTTAAAATTGGAAAGACAAGTACACTTGTTGAAAGAGGCAATCTTAAAGAGAAGAGACTGGAAGAAACAGCTTCATGTATGATGGTAGTGCCTTGGAGAAAGAGAACCCAAACATGTCCATGCATTTTGAAAAAGAAACGCCTTCAGGTCATGGCTAAAAAGTATGTCAAAGGTCATGGCCAGGCCAGTCTTGTTAATCAACGCAAAAAATTATACGATATAATTCATAGTCTTAACAAAAAAGAGACTATCAGTTTACCTAATGCCTCAGACTTTGACAATGACATGATATGGAGGTTACTGAAGACATTAATCAGTCCTAAAGAAAACCTATTCTCTGAAAATGAGGCAGAAAAATCTGCCAGTCCCTCTTCCAATACAGAGAAGGAAGATCTGGTTAAAGTCTTCACCTATTTACATCCCTCCTCAAACAAGACCAAATTTGAATTCATTCCTTTGAAAACTCCTAGGAAGAAAACACTGCCTTTCAGTGTGAAGGAATTGTTTAACAAGGAAGTCACCAAGGCCAGGAAGAAGAAAGAAGTCAGCAGAGGGCTTATTTTCTTAAAGATGGTCACCGGGAAAAATATGTTTATCAAGGAAAAGGGTTCCCCAAAGAACAAAATGTCAAAAAACAAAGACAGCAAAGACACAGGTATGTGCTGTTGACATCAAAAGTCTACTCCTAATCCTGCTGTGATTTTATCCCTTCATACCCTTAAAAATAATGCCGAGTACATATTGAAAGGAGAAGAAATAATTTTATTGCATATGTTCATACATTAAACAGGAGAGAAAACTTCATTTAGATGATGATAGGGACTGCACTATTTTTAAGTGAAATATCTCTTTTTTGCTTGTCAACGATTACTACAAAATTACACAAGATAGGTCATCACCAGCTTGGCGCAGTGGTTAGAGCGTTTGCTCTTGAGTAAGTAGATGATCCTTACGTTGCGGGTTTGAATCCCACTGTGGGACGTGGAGACTGGTCTTTTGGATGAGACCGTATAAACCGAGGTTTTGGATGAGACTATATAAACCAAGGTCCTGTATTGCAGTAGGTGCTGGCACAAAAAAGATCCCTTACTGCTCAAAGGCCATAAATGCAGAGTACAGGTCTAATTTTGCAGCCCTCCGCAGGCAAGTGGTATTGTCTCAATATGAGTGAAAAATTCTCAAAGGGAAGTTGAACAAACAAACAAACTTGAGAAATGTCAAGTATGCCTTTTAAATACATATCTGATTCTTATTCATAGCATATCAAAATATCCAGAAGAAATTTAGGACAGTCCACTCTTTATTCTCTTCCTCTTTTTTACTTAGCTAAAATCTGAATTTTTGAAAGAGAAAAAAAAGATTTCAACAAAATATATATTTATAATTTTAAAGTTTTAAATCTTTTCTTTCATGATCTTATATAGCTTCTATTCTGGTGCTAACAAGGCTGACTAAAAAATAATTTTGTGGAAGTATACCAACAGCTATAGAGAAGCAGCTTTATTTGTCACATTATTTGTGCACCTCCTTAGCCAGGGGGTTATAGACCACCTGGTCATTACACAACATTCTTGGCTGCCGTTCATGAAACAGCTCATTGGCTTATAACTCTCTAGTCGAAATTATATTTAGCTTTATAAAGATCATTAATGATATAATTTTATTACCTCATAATCTTACAGATCAAACATATATTCTTTTAGCATGTTCAGCATATTTTGTTTTCTATAAGTTTCAACAAATCAATTCTTATCAAAAAGATCAAAATCATGAAGTAGGGTAATTGGTTCCCCTTTAAACCTTAATATTTACCCATGTCGTGTAATTAAGTTGACAAGATCTATGTTGTATGTAAAGTCCTTGTGAGTTATGTACTCTTTGACATGCCCATGGGATAATCAGTATGGAATGATTAAAGAGGTTTGCAAATAGCCCACTGCAATGTATATACTATATCTACTAAAACTCACATGGGGAAACACTGTGCCAACTAAGTATATATAACATGACCTTAATATTTCTCTCTCTGAATATACGAGATTAATTCATATCTTTTAATGAATTTCATTTCTGTATTTTTTTTAAAATTCTTTAACCTTGCTCTCTTTAAACATAAGACTCTCTCTTCTAATAATTAATAATGCTTCCCAAAAGAGAACAAGGGAATGTTAAGTTGCAGAAAAAAGTGGTCAAGTCAGAGAAAATCAATTCCATTTATAGCTGCATTCTGTTCAGACGTTGGCAGAAATCAATAAACTGGATGCAATAGCACGAGAAGGATTAATAAGTTATTACTTCGAGATCACAGCTGTAGCTCCTTATAACACAAATGTGTCAGTGTGGAACTATTAATGAAGATTTTAGATTTTTTTCGGTGAAATAAGTGGATGTCATGGTGTCCTCAAGTATTCTTAGATTGTCCAACACAAAACTAAAGGACCAAGGTAGGGGAATTAATCTAGACGACATAATGATATGTTCAGACATTACGTAATCCATAATCGGCAGAATTTTAATGAAGGCAAATCTAAAGAACTTTGTTTTGAAGAATTTTTTTTATGTTCTTCTGATCATTATAAAAATTCTGTGATCAAAATACTCAAATAGAAGTGCAGAGTCAATATTCTAAGACCTGAATGGGATAAATTTGCATGTGTGTGAATGAGGTTAAAATAACACACATTAAATTTATAATTACATTTTTACTGGTATATATGAATACAGATGATTCACAATAGATTTTTGCTGCTGTTCACAAGTTCATAATGAATCCTGTAGCTGGTTTCTTTTATAGCTATACTAACAACTATATTATTTGTATATGTTTTTGTTTTTCTAATATTATTTTGCATGATAATTATTATGTGTTATATTTAAGGAGAGAAACTAGTTTGTTGTTAGTAAACTTGTTTCCAATCCTTATAGTGATTGTCAATAATATATGTTCAAAACAATGATTCACACAGGAAATCTTTGATATACAGAGAACAATATACCTATATACAATGATGTTGACAAATATTGTATACCTGCAAGAAAAATATGTACATTGTAGTTTAATATAAGGCATATAAATGATGTTTAATTATCTTAGACAGTAATTAAAATCAAATGTTGCAAAGATGATGCATGATTAATTAGCGATTAAGACACTGTCGAGACAAAACATCAACATCTACATTCCCAAGCATAATTTTTATGCATATAGCCAAGCCATTATTGATTTCAATTGTTTGTTCAATGATAACAGTATTAACAAAATGTTACACAGTTATTATCTTATGACTCATGGAAAAAACAGTTTATTATATTTTAGGGCAATTCTTCATGGTTCCAGAAACATGGTCTATGCATGCATTTCAGAATCTCATCCCCTTGTGATCTGCAGTTAGTCATAAATTAAATTAAAATAAACTGACAATTAAACAATGTCCATACTTCTGCATCCTAAGGTTTCATTAACTTGATATTTTCAGATGCCACCATCAAGAGTCCAAAAATGTTCAAAATGTCTTCCACTCAACTGGTTCTGCCCAAGTTGAATTTGATTGGTCGATCGCCCTGCCCAAGATCCTCTGCCCCATCACCCAAAGAGCTCCTAGAATCCAGTCTACTCAGCAAAAAGTCCCAAGAGGTAATCATTTACCCTTTTTGAAAATAAAATTTTCTTAAAAAATGAATTTTTAAAAAAGGTCTTTTGAACAAAAAACATGAACCTCTTCCAAAAAATTTGAAGTGTATCAACTAGTAGAAATTGTTTTAACATTTTAATCCACTTAACTTAACGTTTAAACATCTCATAATCACATGGCTTTCTTTCTTAGATTGAGGAAATGAGCCATGATGCATCCCCTACCCTCAACAATATGCTGTCTGTGGCTTTGGAGATGCTCCACACTTCACGACTCGATGATGCTGAAAATCAGCTCCTGCGGTTATACCAAAGAATGCAGGAAAAACCGGAGGACAACACCAGAATCCTGGTGCAGTGTTTGTCCAACCTGTCGGATATCTGTGTAAGACGCAGTCGCATGTGTCGATCTAATCAGATGGAATGGCAGTGGTTAGTGATGCATGCAATTGCTCTGTTACAATATACTGTGGAAATCTGTGACTCAGAAATAGAGGCAACCACAGACAATCAGGATGTGGAATGGTTCCAGGAGTACCGCCAAAACATAGTGACAAAATGTAAGCCTCTTGAGGACAGCTTTAATCGAGCTCTGTACAACTGCCTGAAACATGAGGGCAGAAAATTCATGGATCCTTTTCGATCATTTTCTTTGCCAAACACTCCTACAATGCCAAACAGACTTGGGTTATTCCCACTTGCTTCTAGTCACCAATTTTACATTAATCCTGGACTCAATTACAAGTACTCTTCCACACTCAATAGAGAGAAAAAGGAAACTGTAGATGATATTAGTGTAGGATTAGACTGGTTGTCCAAGTTTTACCGATACTGCAATGATCGTCTGCAGACTAAAAATCTGGGAGACATTTATAACAAACTTTTCAAGAAAAGATCACGTGTTGACAGTCTGCGACATGAAGATGACACAGAAAGTGTTGTGTCTGATTCAGCTGGATCGCTGGACTGGGACCATAGTGATCTTCAAGGAATTGATGAACTGGAATCAGAAGAACCCGAGGAGTCCCCAGTCACTGAGCAAACTTTCGCTTTAGCTGTTGCTGAGTGTGATATGGAACATAATGGGTGGGATTTTTTCTTAAATGAGAGAAAAAATTGCAAATTTACAAGTGTAGTGCAAGTGGCATCTCAAAATCAAAATGAAACTGAAAAACTTGAAAATAGGGCAATATCAAAAACGAAAGAAAATGAAAACGAAGTGAAAGAGAAGGAAATTATTTCACCTTTACATGAGCATAGCATTAAACATACTCTAGCAAAATCCTATGCCAGACTAGCTGAGAAAATGCTTTCAGAGGGGGATTTGGACAAAGCAGAAGTTCTCTTTGAACAAGTCTTGAACATAATTGAAGAGATTCATGATGGAACAGCAGGAATGTTGAGGTTTGGTGCAAAAATCAGTAAATTTCTAGGAACAATCAAATCAAAACAAGGAAAAACAGCAGAAGGACTTGAATATCTAAACACAGCACTGAAAACCTACAGAGACCTTCAAGATAATGCTTCCAACTACGAGATTGCAGTTGCTTTACTAGAACTAGGAAATGGGTATAGTGTGGGCAAAAGCAATGATGATGGTGTGTTTGAGGATGCTATTGCAGCTATCTGTGAGTTCTTTGAAAAAGATCTCTCAGATGAAAATATGAGTTCTAGCTCAAGTTCTGGGAAGTCTGACACAGTGAACTCGAGGACTGCAGAGGAGGAGGAGAATATTGAGGAAGCCATTCACTGTTACCGGGAAGCTCTGTCACTCCTAGATGCATATGGAAGTGAAAACCAAATGGATATTGTGGCCAAATCTACCATGAGGTTAGGAGACTGCTACTTTATGCAGAAGGATTATGACAGAGCATTAGAATGTTATGAAAAATCACTTTCTCTTTTTCATTCTTCAAGCACGCTCGGACGTGAATCTATGATAGAGCATGCTCATGTTACCTGTATGGTGGGTGTTTGTTCATTCATGTTGCACATGTATCCTAGAGCAGTATCTACCTTTGAACTAGCACTGCACCTCATTAAATATGCCTATGGGTTGACAAGTACTTTTATACATGCACTCCTTCTTTCGATGATGGGAATTACATATTATAAAATGAAAAACTATCACAAATGTGTAACCATGTGTTATCAGGGCTTTGAGATCTTCTGCAGCATTTATGGAGAAAAACTCCCCACTCTACCAAAAAGGAAATTCTGGTTGGTGTGTCAAATACTGTATGTGATGGGGAATTCCTACAACATCCTGAATTTACATCAGAAGGCTGTGAAATATCTGACTGTGGCAAGAACATTGATGATGGCTTGCAAGATGAGAGAAAGAAGACAGTTCATGCGAGTTCTTCAAGTGTTGGGAGACTGTTACTTTGCACAGTATGACTATAAAACAGCTTTACAGTTCTATAATGAGGCACTGGAGTATGGAGACTGTGAAAGTCAGGTCTCGTTTGATGAAGTGTTTGATCCAAATGCCATTGGTGACAACATGACCATGCACAATCAGCTTGTGAGCAAGTCTGCGGAGGCTCACATCAGCATGCAGCAGTATCAGAATGCAGTCCACTATCTAGAACAAGCACATGACATGCAAGAAGACATGGGGAATGATATTAAGGAAGATCTTATACATACTCTGACACAACTGGGACAAATGCACTCCAGTGCTGGCGATGTTGAGCAAGCTATTGACTCTTTCAATGAAAGCCTAGAGGTATATAGAGAAATTCATGATGGAAAACTGGGTAAAGAAATGTGTTCAACTTTGGGTAACCTGGCCACAATGTGTTATGTAAAAGCTTGTCTCTGTGAGGAGATTGACAGTGAACTAGAAATGATCCTCACAACAGAGCAGCATTTCCAGGATGCCATGGCATTAGATCTCAATCCCAGTGTCTGTGTGAAGTATGCTAACTTCCTGTACAGTCAAGCAAACTATGATGATGCCATCATGTACCTGGAAGATGCTCTGAAGATTGAAGGGGTGGAAGATGCTCCTGATATAACATATGGGGGTCTGGAAAAGGTGACCCTCCCTGACTGTCTACAGGATGAGGTGGACTCCCAGGAAGAAGTGGTTCTGTCCCCTACAGTCCTTGCACGCTACCTTCTCATCCTATCCCATAAAGCAATGCACCAGTCTGAATCAGCCATGCAGGCCCTTACTGACCTTCAGGCAGATGTCCTTGACCGAGATATTCCCATTTTCTACTCTGTCCTTGGTTATGCTATGATGGAGATGTCCCTGTTTGAGGAAGCCATGTGGTGTTTCTCTTGTGCGGTAGACATTGAGAGTGATTACAGACTTGCACTAGACAACTACAGTTTGTGTTTATGTATTTATCTTTACAAAACATTTATTAAAGGAATTGAAGCTATTTGTCAACATGCTGGATTACCATGCTACTACAATATGTAGTTCATTCAGTTATCTCTAAATTGTACAGAATTCATCCATGATCAACAGTCAAGGCAAAGAGAGTCTTCCAATTTTACAATGTTATTTATAACTCAAACAGAAATAATCAGTATTGTTTCTAAATGAACCACTGTAGCAACTAAGAAAAGTATTTAAGAGTAACCATAGTAACAATTAAGGAATGTATTAGAGAATACCATAAACCCACTGTTCAATTCAGAATGCTGTTATATATTTTGGTATTATTTCTTGACAACTATTTTTATTTGAATAAATTATGTTGTCTGCTGTGTACTGTATACAGGGAAATTTTTGCCCCCACTTTATTTTTGCCCAGTTCACCCTCTTTGTCAGTTGAGTGATTCAAATTAGAGTGAATTCAACAGAGACAGTTTCTCTCTAAAGTATCACAACTGTGTCTGGGCGAATTTAAAATGGGGCTAATTCTTTTGCATGTGTGATCAGTCAAAAATAACACTGGGCAAAAATAACACTACTGTATATAGTATGTACTCAAATGAAGCTGCCAAGTAATTCTCATGTTTATGTAAATTTAAACTAGTGCAAATGACTTTCAAGCTTTTTATATGCATTAGTATTATTAATGCTTTTTAGACAGGGTCATTATATCTTTAAATGTATATCCTTTACTCTGTGATATGAACTCAGCATTTCTTGGACATATATTTGTTGAAAAAATATAGAAGCTTTAATCATGTTAATGTGCACAGTTGTTTTTTTTTCAACTGTTTTGTTTTTGTTTTCTCCTTTATTACTCGTGTGTAACAAATAAGTAAGTGCTAAGAGCTTTTGTATATGGAGACAATGTAAGTTCTGTAACATTTTATAATGTCATTGATTTAAGACACCCAGAAAAACTAGTCTATAGTAGATGGAAAATGTTATATGAATACATGGTATATGAACTTTTTGGTATTTCAAACTTTAAATTGTCATATAATTTTGTGAAAAATGACCTTTTTAGAGTAAAATAAATAGAAAAAAAAAAGTAAAAGCTCTGCTAGGATCAGACTCCTTATCTACAGCGTACAAAGTCAAAGCTTATAATCAGTAAGCTACCTGGATACATAATATAGTAGAACGCGGTAATTTATTTCAAATTAACGGTTTATTTTGCCATTGTGATAATGTTTTTCTTCTTTTAACTATCCTCTCCTTTGCAGGAAAAACAGAAAATAAATCTAATCTAAAAGGTATAATAAAATGAGATATGATTTTTAGCCATCCTGTTGCTACAAATTGAAGAAAATCTTTTCGAGAAAAAAAAAGTGTCATTTTAGAATTTTTATTCTGAATTTTAGTATACCTTTATATACATGAAACATTTTACACACTGTTTTCATATCTATAAAAAAGCTATTAAAATGTTATAAAATGTATATGTACATTTCTTTCTTATCTCTATGCAATCAATCTTGAAATGAAACTATTAAAATACCGGTATTAAAAAAAAATCATGCCATTTTACAAGGAAAATGTTTGAAATGTTGTTACTACATGTACAATAAAACTGTTGTTATCCACCACTATGTAGTTTTATTTTTTATATAATGAAAGAAAGATATAATCTTACAAATAAATCTTTAAAGCTCTTATGATTTACTAAATCCTCTTCTGAAGATAAAAAAAAAATATCTACAGATTATTCTGAAACAATAAGAAATATTATTTCTTCAGGATTTAGTCTCCATACCCACAATTCCATGGTTTTTTGACCAAATTCAACAGTTCCAGTTTATCGAATCACTCCACTGAATTCTCCAGACCCTTTCAAGAATAATTATCAGGCTTGTTCACCAATCTCTTAAAACACAAACTTGTTCAGTACATGCACCATTTATCTCTTACCATGAGGCTTCATTTCACCTCTCCTTTCTAGTTCTAGGTGACATTACCTTCTTCTAAGTCTGTGAAACTCCTCTAGATCTTTTTTTTATGATGGCTGTTCACTTTCTGAACACTTCACAGCCGTTTTGTCCAGGAATAAATTCTTCCAAAACTCCAGTTATTTTAGGAATATCATCAATATGGCATATCTCTTCTAAACCTAAAAATATTGTAATAAAAATATATATATTTTGCTTCGGATAAAAAAGTGATGGTCACATGGCTCAATTGACTATGTCATAGGCTTTGTAAATATACAGACACAAAATATTGAAAATTATCTATACATGTGTAAATCTACAAATATTGTTGTACTTCAACATCTACTAGCAATTAAAAATATTTTTCAAGTATTTACACTTATGTCAGTATTTTTAAACGAATGAAAAAGATTGATCCACTTCCTTGTTTCTCTATGCTGCAGTGATGTCAAACATCTATCTATTAGTAAGCAATATCTAGTACATGTACAAGTTCAGCACAGTAAAACACGCTTATAGTCAACATGCTAAATGAATTGATGCTTACAGCCAAGTGGTTTTTATTCCCTTTGGCTTTAAAAAATATATTGTGAACTTTACGGACATAATGAATTTTAAAACATAATGAATCAAAATTGTTCATTCCTGGCACTTCATCATAAGCGTGTTTTACTATATAAAATTCCTAATGCAGGTCATAGTCAGAGCATAGTGTGGTATATAATGAAACAGAGAACACAATTATGCATTTTATACACAAAGTGAATATTTTTGAGTGGTTAAAAGCAGAGATGTCATATTAAGCAAGTCTGACTGTAGTTTTCATGTGATGTGATGTCAGTTGTTTTTCCCATACTCGGAAAATGTACACTTTTTTATGATGCTGATGTCTTATTAAATAATTTCCTGTTCAAAAAGTAGGTTAGCTTCATCTTTCCACAGTAACTACAGTTGACATCAGTTCCCTTGTAAATTTGAAAATATTAAATGGCATATTTTTTCTAACTTTGAATTTCTTTATATGTACCGTATAAGCAGAAATTTTAGCAAGGATTTAATTTTGGCATTTTTAGTGAGGGTATCGAGATCACTGAAATTAAATATCCCTAACAATTTATTCTGCATTAGATAGTAACCGTTATCTTTCTATGCACCATAAAATTGCTAAAATTAAATACTGATTTTTTAGGACAAATCGCTAAATTTGCATCTCGCTAAAAAATTCCACTTAGTTATACAGTATATCTTTCTTTGTAATTACCTGTCTCTTTCTTACGGATATCTACTGCTTCTTTCTTTTCTGTGATCTTTTCTCTGGTCAGTTCAATATGGTCATTATTTTCTGTGGTCAGTTTTCTGGTTTTAACCTTGCCTGATGCACTTATATCCTCATTTTCAGTTTGAGCTAGCTTTCCCCTACTACAAGTTTGTCTTCCTGTCCTGCTCTAAAAATAAATTTGTGTAAACCATAGACATGCTTCAGGTCTATGTGTAAACTTAGTAACTTAATATAATTACATAAAATCTCCATTTCTAAAGTCTTAACATTATAAATCTTTATAAGATAGTGATTTTAGATTATTTGGAATATTTACTATTAATTTTTGTGATTAATTAGGAAAAATAATTATGATTAATTTCAAGTAAATGCATAAAAAACATAAAGGTCAATCCAAAAACAAAATTAGAAAACTTTGGAGTAAATGTAGATTACAGTAATAAGATTTCGTTAAGTTTTCAGTATTGCTGAATGAATAAAGCATGTTCTATTGATCTTGTTTATCAAAATAAACATAGCAATATGTTCCAATCCTGTTGCACATTTAATTTGTACATCTCAAAGTTATCTTTAAAATTGAAATTCCTTAATGTTGGGAAAGTTTTCAATCTAAACATTAGATAAGAACTAATTCATTATGTTTATCCATAACAAACTAAAACATGTACATTGTATGCATATAATTGTCACAAATGTGGTAGTTTGTGATGCACGACTTCCTATTAGCTGGGCTAGTGTGTTAAGGCATTTTGCTAGATTGGTAGAGTATTAATGGAATAGCATGCCAGAAGTCCCAGGTTCAAACCAGCAGAAGCACACACTACTGTAAAATCACATATTTTTGTGGGGTAAAATGTTCGTGGTTTGAGGGAAAATATGGTTTCATGAAGATTTGATTTTATGGATGAAGAATTGTTGCGTAGTCATGTACATGTATATGGCATTTTACACTTCCTGGTGGACATGAAATTGTGGGTCCCTTCAAACCTTGAAAACAATGAAAATCAAACCCCCATGAAATTTTGTGATTTCACAGAACATGTATTACATATCTCTGTTACACATTTAACACACAAATAAGGATTAACATGTCCTAATTACCGTAATTTTGGGGGTATAGGTCGATGGGGTATATAGGTCGAAAGGCTCATTTTCAGCCGTAATTTTTAAAAAATCCTTAGATAGGACGAATCCGGAAGATAAGACGAAGCTTTGTTTATCGATTTGCTAGAGATTCTTACGTATATACTACGTATCAGAACATGTAAACCTCTTTAATTTAACCCGTGATATTAACGTATTGAGAAAATAAACTGGTATTTTTATGAGTACAGCATTTTAATAGTGTTTTATACAAACATAGTTAAAATTTCCTTGAATTGTGATATAACGTATTTTCTCCAACTTGCCTATTCAATGCCGTCGTAGTTTGACTCTGTCCTTAAACACATAAATACGGTAGTATACAACAGCTATTATTAGGGAAATACCCGAAATCAACCAATAACCATTTCAATTTTAGAACATCTTGGACACATTCTTTTATTCCGACGTTGTTTACCGGGGTACAATATTAACTTCGATGACCGCCATTTTTATATTTCTTGTCCAGGGATTTGCTAAAACACGCAAATGATTATTACCAGTACATGTAACAGTGAGCAATTGAAATTAGTTATATTAACATGCTATAATTTTGCTTGAGATATTGCTGAAAAAATAAATTTAATTGAGAGTACATTCGCAATTTAACAGTCATTATGAATTTCACAGTTTTGTTTGTTCAATGATGTATAGCACTAATACCCCTGTAACGGCACGTGGATCTTTTAATCATGCCCCGCAGGTGTTTTAACCAACACAGGTGTTAACACCTTTGTGTACACAGTGTATATCCCTTTATCTGTCAGACAATTAAAATTCTATTAGAAGCCAATCTTTGTATAATTCAGTGTACCCCTTGGGATATAAAACAAAATAGTTATTACTAGCGGTATATTTGGTAAATAATTTTAGGAATTTACTGGCAACAATTTATTTCACGTATTTTACATTTAAATAAATATCACAAGACAATGAAAAAATATTTAGGTATACTATTTCAATTAATTGTTACAAATAAATGGAAAAAAAAAGATTACAACTGCGATTGTGAAAACGCTTCCGTATTTTAAACTTTGATACGATTGCGGTTTTATTTTTAGTAAGCGATTGCGACTTCCAACTTCACAAGATGGACACAGCATGTTGTAAATATACGTTGAGACATTATTTACTAGATGATATAATGTTTTTTTGTACATCGACGGATATTTAATGGAACTTATTTTGTAAGAAATCAATGGAAGATATTTAATTTTTTTATTGCTTAGTACTTTTTTCTCGGTAAATAATTTTAAAAAGTTACGAAAATGGCACAGATTTGTTTTGAAATTGACGTAAATTTCACTAATTTGGGGGGCATTTTTCATAAACTTGAGCCTTAGAAAGGTCGATTCGTTAAATTGGGCGACCCCAACGGTTCTGAGAAAAAAAGTATCGACCTATACCCCAAAACTTACGGTAGTACTGACACTGACATGTGATGTTTACCTGTGCAATTCTCGTTTTTGAGAGTAAAAATGGAGGATTTTACATAATAGGACTTGTAAGTTTAATACTTTTGAAAATCTACAGTATAGCTGGTTGATTTATCATGTTTGTAAGGGGAAAAAATGGAACCAATGCCCCGTTTTACAAAGGACTTTAAACCAAGACCAAAACATAATTTTCAGAATAATATTTTTCTTACCACTAGTTAAAGTGGTATTAATCTTTTTAAAAAGAAATTAGATAGATAATTTTATGCAAGTAATTTTTTACAGAATAACAAATTCAGAAAGATTTTACCATTGACAAAAGTTTTGTCTTAAGTTCCTTTGTAAAATGTGGACTAGGTTCTTACTTTCACAGATCAAAGGTTGAGCTATCAAAAGTCACTTGAATCCACATTTTATTCAAGGAATAATTTGTGATCCTTAATGGAATTTTAAAATGATGTCAGGGAAAGAACTTGGGTGATCCAAGCTAAATTGTATTTATTACCTCTTGTTCATTTTCCTTCAAGGTAGAATTACTGTCCCATTTGTAAACCTCTTTTTCTCTTGTTGCTAAAAAGTAGGAAAAAAAAGATCTCCAAGAAAGGTCTAATTTTACATTATTAGATGTTAAAGTATTGATGACAGAGAGAACCAAACAAAATGTGTTTGTGAAACACTGATGTTTCTGAATGGCACCTGATGATCAAGGTTAAAGTTTTTCAAGTGTAGGTCAAACTCCAAGGTCAAGGTCAATTGCTGGTAGCAAAAGAAAGGTCTTGTCACAAGAAATACAAAGCCCTAGTGCCAACTGTTCAAAAGTTACGGCCAAGATTAAAGTTTGGAAGTTTTCAGAGTCTAAGGTTTTGCCACAAGAAGTACATGTGAAGTATGAAAGCCCTGGCACCAACCATTAAAAAGTTATGGCCAAGGTTAAAGTTTTCCAAAAGTATGTCAAACTCTGAGATCAAGGTCAAAGAGTAAAAAAAAAATTTGGTACCCAAACAAAGGTCTTGTCACAAAGAATAAACATGTGAAATATGAAAGCCCTAGCACCAACATTTCAGAAGTTATGGCCAAAGATTTTTTATTTCAAAAAGTAGGTCAAACACCAAAGTCAAGGTTAATACATGTAATATGTCAAATATGTTGGTACCCAAAAAAAAAAATGTGTCAAACAGAATAAACAGTGAAATATGAAAGCAGTAGCCTCAACAATTCAAAAGTTTTGAGCAATGTTAAAAGTTTTTACGGGTAAACAGACAATGGGATAAACAGCTAGACAGATGGATAGACCAAAGACTACATGTATATACCCCTAAATCTTCATTTACGGGGGCATACATAAAAACTGCATGCTGATTTAAAATGCAACCTGCAATTGTAACTCTATCTCTCGCTTGAATATGTGAGAATGTGTTTTGTTACTACAGCTTATGAGAGACAAGTACAAGCCTACCTTTGTACACCTCCTCTGGAGGAAGCTTATAGTCCATAAGGACAGTCTTGGAACCTCTGGAAACACTGTCAATTATAAACAATGGGTGTAGGACAGCCAAGTGTTCACTTAAGTATGCCTCACTTCTGAAGATTCTGGATTTAGAAAAAAAAAAAACCATAACCTGGGTATAAAATTATCAATCATCACTTCTGCTTGTAAATTGTTTTATTATTACATACACATGACTGAGTGTACAAGAAATTTCTCATTCTCAGAGCATGAAAAAAACATTTTATTTTCCAAGGCTAACAACTGTTGCTATCGTACTTACTGGAGTGTGTCTGGTGCATTAAAATCTTGACTGAAAACAAACATAGCTGAATCCAATGGAGCTCCTTGCCCACCATTTCTTTCTGTGAAAAAAAATATATACATGTATTGCAATAAAGTGAACAAACAAGGATATACAGATATTTTTTCCTTTACCTATGACTAATAAAATGCAGGCATTTAACTCTTAACTGTGTTTGTGGCACCTTGAATGTAACATCACCACAACTGCTTAACATCCCCTCCTTCCCCTCACCTCCCATCAAAAGGTGACAAAAGTTAACTTTGAAGATACAGTTAAACTGGGCAAAATCAGATAAAATACAATTTGTTTAATGACCTCAGTGTCAATTGACCATGGTGGGATTCAAACTGATGATTACTGTTGCCAGTCTGATTCCTATACAAAAAAATTTGGTCAGCAACTTACCAGAAATACACATTCAACAGGGCAAACAATTGACCTTGAAACTATGACCTTTGTGTACCTTTAGGTTAATGACAATTATTATTCCTTTAATTACTCGGGCAGAGCAATGGAATCTTTGAACCCAGAAATTACAGTTACCAAGACTAACGTGAACAAGTTTTGTCAAACGGTGTTAAAACCCATATATTGTACCCCTGGACTGTTGATTCCACAGACTCCACTATTGATTCAAAAGATAATACTTGTTTTTTTGGTTTAATTGGTAACGGGTGGATTAGCCCTGATTACATGTTCGCTCTGAGTGGTTTTGCCCCGATTATAACTGTAACCTGATTGTATGTTGTTTTACATCCCATTCCAGAATTTTTCACTCATATAGAGACGTCAACAGATACCGGTGAAGGCAGGCTTCAAAGAAGATGGGTGAACATGACGAGCGAAAAGCCTACAGTGTGACAAACATGAAAGTGAACAATTAAATCTCAATTATATTAAAATTTTCCTTGATATTTCACTTAACATTAAAATATACTTTATGTAAAATCTCTACAATTTGCAAAAATCCCTCAAAGATTGAAATTATTTGCCTATGAAATATTATACACACACTAAAGAGGGCAAAAAGAGTCATTTTCTCATATATAACACTACCCGGTATTTTTCGATATGAGTGGGTCTTCACTCCATTTTTTTTAAAGTTAACCTTCAAAGTTTGCATGAAAATATACATTTTTTGGTTACCAAAAATATGGAGCAAAGACCCACTTTATCTTAAAAATATACTTTTTTGACACAACATTCGCATCTTTTCGAGAAATACTTGAAGTCCATTAAGTCAAGGGTCACATCACAAACATGATTTAAATGTCACCCTTCATCAGGACTTGTGTAGTCTAGTGGTTAGTGTGCTAGTCTCGAAAGAAAATGATACTCAGGATTTTTATTGCTTTGGGTCTGAACCCCATGAATACCAAATTATTTTTTTAATAAATGAATAAATTTTGCAGAGAAAATTTTCCTCAGACAAGTTTTGTTTATCATAATTTCATAAATTTCAATAATGAGAACTTTACATACTAAACGCACAAATTGAACATGATTTTTATGTATTTGAAGCTGTAGGCTTTCTGCACTCCATGTTCGCCCATCTCCTTTAGACCTTTACTCTGCACTCAGGGCCATTGAGCAGTGAGGGTTCTTAATCCTGCCAACACCTACTGTGACACAGGGCCTCAGTTTTTAAGGTCTCATCCATAGGACCCGCAACTTTCACTTCAAAGTGCTGAGTGTCTGGCAAAGAGACAGTTGCTACCTATTTTTTATCGACTTAAGTCAGTCTAAGCCGTGATTCGAACACGCCACCTTCTGATCATGGAGCGAGCGCTCTACCAACTGACCTACCGTGACGGTCTACCTGTAATTAATCATTAATTACCTGTATCCTGTAATTAATGTTAAATTTTTTGCACAGTGTGGGATTTGGCAGTTTGCTATGACAAATCGCTGACGTTCTATGTTAACTTTGTGGTTTTTCGTGTTTGCTATGGAAAAGGTTTTTATGTATCCAAAGCGATCTACACAGTACACCGATTATGTTTTTAATGAAGTAAATCTTCTTTGTTCAAAATTTCACAAAAGGATGGAGATTGTTGGAATAAAATTAATGTGATTTAACTAAACTTATTTATATTTTACATATATAAACATAGATGAAGTTGTTAATGTCCTGTGTTCATGATTTTTGAAAGAAAAGTTCGCATCATCTGCCCTTAAAATCGGAAATAATTATTTGGTATTGATCGGCAACTTAATATTGAATTAAATTAAAGTGTTCAATAATTATGTTAATCTAAACACCCACTGATCAAATGATTTTGCTTAAATAAACATCAAGTACACAGCATGTTTAAAGAAAACCATGCAGGGCAAATCCACTCAGGGCAAACAGGGAAATGTGGAGAAACCACTTGATGCGAACAGGTAATTAGGTGAAACCATCCGGATTCGTTTAATTCACATGCTGTTTGGAAATGGATGGCATGTTCAAATTCATCTAATTCTATGCAAGAGTTTTTGTTTCTATAAAATTTTTACTCTTGATGTAAAATCTATATTATCTATATGAATTATAATAATTAAACATACTTATTTTCCTGCAATTAGGCTACTGATTTACTATATATTATAAGGTATTGTGCCCATTGCTGTATGCAGTGTTAATGGAAAGGTTCTTAATGCACTATTCAATAACCATTAAATGTTATCTATAGATAGATAGATAATTTCATTTTTCCAATTTTGGGCCCAGAAGGCATACAAGCTTTTTACAATGAAAAGATAGAAAGTTCTGAATGAAAGGTTACATACACACAGATAAACACACACACACATATACATGCATATATATAATATAATACATAAAAGTAACTTTCTATATCTCTGATTCAACTTACTCCAAATGTTCTTAAATTTCTGTGAAACACTGGAAGAAAACCATGCAGTATCTTCTTGAAAAATTTTCTTTCTGCTCATTTTGAAAGGAATCAACTAGAAAATATATTTATCAAATATTAATGTACATTGAAACTTCATAATTATCTTTAAAATAGAAAGACAGATGAAAAGAACAGAAATCATTTATCCTCTCTTCTTACATCGCACAAGATAACAAATCACTTTTTTCTATAACATAGTATTATTTTATGCTATGAATATGATTACCTTTTCACTGAAAATAGACAAACCTTTCTGTTTTGGGGGACCATTAATGGGTGTGCAGAACTTTCAAGTTATTTGTAAGCAATTTCAATTCTAGACAATTGTTTGATGATGAAATAAAACAATTAAATTCATGAAACATAATTTTCTACAAAACAGAACTAACCGATTTGAATCTAGCCCTTCTTGCAGTACTAAGCTGCTTTTGTGCACCTTGTGTAGAATTTTGGTAAGACTAATTGAAGAAAGCACAATATCACGTTGCATATTTAATGATAACGAGGAATTCAGGTATTATTTTTTGAAAAGGGTGATAAAATTATATTTTAAATAATATGATGAAGTATTTTAACCAAATTTACCTAAATACATTTATAAAATATTGTGCCGAGTATCTCAATTCAAGAACGACCTATCTAATATTTTTGGGGGGATACAAAAGATGGAAAAACGCAGACTGGACTGTGTAGGTCTACCCCCAGGCTGGAAGCGTGAAGAAGTAGTCAGAAAATCAGGATTGTCTGCGGGGAAGACTGATGTTTATTATATAAGGTACGTAAAAATTGTTTGATTTGTCTTTAGAATAAATAAATAACGCTTTTGTGTCCGTCACACAGAGAAAATTAGCATATTTTTGTTTTTATGTGTTTTTTCACCTTTGTCTCGTCCAGTATGGCCGACGGGACACACCTGACACCTCTAATGGTCTTATTTTTGGAAAGCTAGGAATGATAGGTATAAGAAGCATATCGTCACTTTGTGAAAAATGCTAAAATATAAATAAATAAATGCAAGGGCAATAACTTTCACTTTCAATTGGATTATTTATTGAAAGCAACAATACAATAAAGATACGAATGTATATAAATACAAATATTCATCAGAAAAAGAAAAAAAAGTGAATTGGATACATAAAAGACATGTACAGGCCACACTTGTTTAATTCAGTCCCTTTTTGTTCATTTCTTATTAGCATAGGCACTCCCCAGCTTAAATTGTTAAAAAATATATATCTACAATACTGATTATAGTATAGTAGATATATATTTTTTAATAATTAAGCTGGGGAGTGCCTATGCTTATTAGATCTAACACCCTTAGGGTTTCAAATCTACTGTAATAAATAATGGAATGTCATTCCCGCCCACCCCAACAATGAGACACCTGCAAAATAAGAAAATTGTTATTTCCCCCCAAAAAAATTTGTATGAACATTATACCATTTTGAATCTCAATGAGTACTTGGCAAACATGTTTCAATGAACATGGTAAAGTAGAATGATCCAGAATCAGAAAAAAGTATCTTGAAAGTCAAGATGTTTAATCATATTTCTCATTTATTATTTTCAGTCCAGATGGTAAGAAGATAAGAAGCAAACCCCAGCTGGCTCGACAGCTAGGTGAACAGTTTGATCTTAGTGCTTTTGACTTCCGCAGTGGTCGAATTAACCATAGTCAACTGAGAAAAAGTAAGCGCCCACAAGGACCATATGACTTCACCAGAGGTTTGTCTGTATCTCTGAACTCCAGGGTGTCTGGCTGCATAATAATATATATCATTATAACATTTTTATTTTCATTATTAATGTATTCTGATAATTTAGACTTCTAATATGTGTTGAAATGCTTAGTATGATTTAGTCATTCAATGTATATAGCATTTTTTATGATCAAAAGGTTATTAATAAGCTTATGCCATTTAGTTGCTAAAAAGACCAGTGAACTCTGTATAAAAATATTAAATGCTTTCTTTTAAGTAGACAAGTAGTTGCACAACACTTGTACAATATTGAATACTATTGGTATAATTATTCTAAATCATTAAAAAGCATTCACCATTGATAAATATAATCTTGCTTGGTAAATTCTAAAGAATCTGAAGTTTTGATCTGTAGAATCCCCTGGTAACGATTTTGTTACAATTTCAATATTTATTTATTTCTAATAGCAAATTGATCCTTATTTTCAGGAATGAGACACGACGGTACTTTAGTATTGCCT